TAAAGTGAATTGTTCGTGTAAGTCGACGGAAATTCAAAGAGAAAGTAAGGATTTTTATATTGTGTGAGTATATGAAATATTTTAAAATCAGAGTAATCTCTTACAATTAAAACTTCGTATTGTTGTAAGTGAAATCAAAATTGTTAAATGAAGGGTGTCTTATTCGGTGGATTAAAAAAACAAAATTAGATCTTCGGGCAAAGCTTATATTCTTTATCAGTTATTTAGAAATTAATACTTAATAAACGAAGATGAGCCAAATTCTAACGATCAAAGAAATAATGCTTCAGCGTTGCACTATTCTGCATACAATAAACATAAATTACTGATGAACACATACAAATTTTTCCATACTAAACGATACTTGTTTAGTCGAATCTGAGCAATCGTTTTTTTATAATAAACGGCAGTTGTTGATAATATACATATAGACACCGACAGTTATTTAGTATTTCCGAGTACCACGTATGGTATTTGGCTTTGAGTAGCCTCTTTCTTCTCTAAAGAAAAAAGATAATCAAATTCACATAAGATAGTGTTGGTGTACAATTTCGTAACATCTGCAAATGGGTCAATTAGAAAAGATAAAATATCTATTCTATTAAGCAGTCTCTCCAGTTTAATATCCCTTTTAGTATAGTTTTTGAAAGATATTTTTCAAAAAGGTAAGGGTTTGTTTAACAAAACGTTTTGGAGAGAAATCTAGGCCCAATTCAGATCTAATTGCGTAATGGTGGGATCGATCTCTCGAGGCCAGAAAGGCGACAGAAGAACATCAACTTTATCGAGTCGATGATGATCTCAAAACAGAAAGGCTCCAGAGGGGGAGACAGGATATAATTAAGTTGTAAAAATCATTGAGAAGTTCGAGTTCAAAGTTTTTATTTTGAAAGCATCCTAGAACATTTCAACTTTGAAATTACTACAAACAAAACGGGTCCTAGCAAAACGAAACTTCTCTATCCAAGAGGGTCTATTACCAGTAGATAAATATATCTCACTGGAAAATGATGAGAAAATGGGAGAGATTCAACACGAAATACTTGACCTCAGGTGCTAAATTTTGAGAGAACAGTAAACTTTTAGTACCAAAGCCATAAGAATTCCAAAAAATGTATGGTGTCTAAATGATATTCTAAACTAGCGTAAGCTAAAACATGAAGTTGAGATATACTCAGCGCTTGCTTAATATTGTCGCATGCTTAAGAAAAAGTTTCGACTCTCAATATACTTTTTATTTAAGAAGAAATATGCCAATAATAAGTTATTCTAACGAGTAAAAACTTTTACCATTTGTTAGCTTTTATATTGGCAGCTAGCAGTTAGCCGTTTAAGTCGGTGCCATGTTTGTGGTACCCAGTAAACATACGTGTATTGTGTATAGGGGCGGATCTACGTCGGGATTAATAGGGCTTAAGCCCTGGGTCCTTTGTGTCAAGGATCTACAAAAATTGAATTATTATCATAAATTTTTAATACTTTTTCATTCTAATATATTTCATGTGCAGGTATAGGGGCTTTATAATAGTCCATACTTTTTCATTCACATCATATGACGTTTCTGCCTATTTTTTAGTGCTGGAGATGGGCCTATTATTCTTATAAGTTTTAGCATGCCAAAAAATTTTAGTCAGGAATTACCCCTGGGAAATACCAACAATATTTTGCCCTCATAAATTAATTGCGTCCAATTCCTTACACAATAAGTTTACTATACATTCCTGGTTCATTAAACGACATTAAATAGCTCCTTTTGGAAGCATTGACCTGTATATTGTATGCGAAGGAGTGTCGCCAACATCATCCAAATGAAATTAATTGTGTTGTTTTAACTTATTAAACGCAAAAACAATTTAGAAAGGGCGTTGTTCAGTTTTTTTACTAAGGACAAAGTTAATTGTTTAGTCAATTCCAAATTAGCCAAGTTATCTTCGATACACTTCAACTGCAGCACTAACTGTGATTCTAAACACTGTCGTAAGGATAACATTCCTTCTTTATCAATGTTCGAAGTAGATTGCCCCTTAAAGTAATGCTCTATCTTTGAACATTTAGCTTCCGGAGCACTTGGAAAACGATTATGCTTATTTTCTTTCCGATCATCTTGGCTCTGCATCTTGGAAATTATTCTGGGGGAGTTGGAGGAAATACATCCAAAAATATAGGCTTATAATAACACAAGACAAAACACGATAGGATAGCTAGACGTAATAAATTAATTTAAATAGCATATCCGTATAGTTCTCAGTTAATTCGTATCGGATCCCTAACCGAGAGACAGTTTACAATCAGATGCGAAGTTGATAAATACCTTAGAATTTTCAGAGTTGAACTTTATCCTAGGGACTTCAAGAGGGGTAATGGATGGCGTTGGAGATGTTCCAAAGATTTTATAGATTTGCAAAGCGTTTGTAATGTGTCTCTAGATGGGGGATAGCTTTTGCAGCTAAGTAGATGTAAATCCGGGAATAATTTGTCCGATGTCCCAAATAGTGGAACTGCAGAACTATCCAAGAGGGTCGAAATTGGTGACTAACGAGATAGCGAACCTTAACTGACCAACTAACTCGAGACTGCAAACTGTCTTTGTTGTCATCGATTTTTCTTTTATTCGGGGGGGTCCTCCCTTTTTCTTGCATCTTTGGTAATGTTAAGTTCTACGTTCAATAGAGAAATTTTGGTCGTTAGGCTCATCTGAATGTGTCACCTTTGAAAGTATATGAATCCGGGGAAAGGTACAATCACATCCTTCAATCATCATTAAAAATGTGGTATTCTGTGTACGTTGTAGCTCCAACAAATAAGTCAAAATTTGTGTACATGCTATTCAAAGGATGCGAAAAAGGACTTCACAAAAAATTTAGTTATCAAAATTGTTCGCTACACATTACATGGCTCTGTGAGCAAAAATGTGAAACGATTTACATTTAAAATGAAGATACGTGTTCCACAAATTTCAGAAAAAAAATCAAAATGGCAGCAGTCTGTCACTATACCATAACGTAAGTTGCATCTACTTTCAAATTCACTTTTATACACAAAAATCCACATTTTACAATATAAAATTACAGTATTGAATATGGGAATTATTATCTGTTTATTTTGAAAAATAACTCTTAATGTAGGGAATTGTCAACATGATAAATTGTACGTTGAAACATGTAAATTACTATCAGTATGTGTAGTTATTAACTGTAATTTAAGGAAAAATCGCAATATAAATGAATAGCACTAAAATGCACTGTTTCCTTTGTAGGTATTGGTAGACAGAGATAGTACAATGACCTACAAATGTGAAATTTGTGATAAATCGTTTACTAGAAAACAGGGTTTATCATATCATATCAAAACCCACACAGGAGAGAAACCCTACAAATGTGAAACATGTGATAAATGTTTTGCTTCGAAGAGCAATTTGAATTCTCATCTCAGAATCCACAAAGGAGAAAAACCCTACAAATGCCAAACATGTGATAAATGTTTTGCTTCGAAGAGCAATTTCAATCGTCATATTAAAATTCACACAGGAGAAAAACCCTACGAGTGCAGAATATGCAATAAACGTTTCAGGTTCAAATGCTCTTTAACTTATCATCAAAATCTCTACACTGGAAGAACAATCTACAAATGCAAAATATGTAATATATGTTTTCCTGAAGAATGGGTATTAGATTGTCATTGCAGAAGACATTTGAGGCAGAAACTACACCAGTGTGAAACACCCCATCAAAATTTCCTTTCTGGAATGGAAACGAGTAACAATACAACGGGTTGTTCAAATGTAATTTCCAGCGATTATTCCAGCGATCGTCGTTACGAACAACAAAATCATTTCATTCAGCATCTTTCCACTCATTCTGAATACAGACCATTGATTTGTCTTGTGTGTCATAGTCAATTTCAAACGAAAGCAAACCTGGATGCTCATCGTGCAATGCACGATCTATACCCATTTAATTGCATTATATGTTATCAAGTGTTCTGTAGTCATAAGGCTTTAGAAGAACACAAAACAATGCACGAACCATTAGTTAATTCGTCTTACTATTGCAATAAATGCAGAGTAACATTTGCTTGGGAAGAAGATTATGAAGTTCATCTTGAATATCATTAATCAGCTGATATAAATTTTGTTTAAGAAATTTCGATTGAAAATTTGCCAAAAAAAAAGTTTGATGACAATTTTAAGTATTTTAAAGTGATTTTAGAATAAAGTTTATTGAGAAGATAATTAATTTCCTATTTTATGTTGAAATTTTTCTCCGTTTCGTGTCGTTTCGCGTTGAATTTTCGTCGATGTTAAGTCTAACGAAGACTATTGTATCGTAAAAAATCATTTTTTTATTTTGTACAAACAAAATAAATATATTGAAAAATATAAAAACAATAAAAAATTATACTTCAGAAGTTAATTTAGTATCAAAAACATAAAATATTTGAGTAGTCCAAGACATAGCTAAAGATTGCAGCGCCACAGCACTGGCGAAAATTTAAATTTGCCGACTGGAATTCTTTCGAATAATTGACGTTTCGGATGATTCACTTACGGATAATCGATGCTCTACTGTATTTGATGTCTTAATAATAAGCCTGATGTACAGAGTATTTACTAATTAATCAAACATTTTTGGCTGACTACGCAGCCATACTCGTGATCGATCTCTTAATTAACATCTGAGTGACCTGTATAAAGATAATGTACATTTGAAATTTTATTTTAAAAGTAATTTAATTTATTATATAAATAAGAATATAACACAATTGTGTCATAATATCGTATAACTCGTAAAAACATTGATAAAATAAATTATATTATTTTTACAGACACATTGATATCTTTTGCAAAAATTCGAAAGTAATGAACTGTAACTGCCAGGACTGTAAAATACAATACATTTCGATCTGAAAAATAACAAATTATAAATTAGTATATAGGGTTTCATGCTTTATTACAATATGTCTAATTTATTTACAGTAGAGTCTCTATAGTCCGTCACTTGTCAGTCCCATGCATGCAGTAATCTGACACTTAGCAGGACAACACATTTGAAATTTTTATGTTGGTTGTATCCATTGTCGGTGTTTGTGACAGAGAGAGACTGATATGTGTGTTTATTCTTTAGTGTAATTGCTAGTTNACAGACACATTGATATCTTTTGCAAAAATTCGAAAGTAATGAACTGTAACTGCCAGGACTGTAAAATACAATACATTGTTGATCTGTAAAATAACAAATTATAAATTAGTATATAGGGTATCATGCTTTATTACAATATATCTAATTTATTTACAGTAACATTGATATCTTTTGCAAAAATTCGAAAGTAATGAACTGTAACTGCCAGGACTGTAAAATACAATACATTGTCGATCTGAAAAATAACAAATTATAAATTAGTATATAGGGTATCATGCTTTATTACAATATATCTAATTTATTTACAGTAGAGTCTTTATAGTCTGTCACTTTTCAGTCCCATGCATCCAGTAATTAGACACTTAGCAGGGCAGCACCTTTGAAATTTTTATGTTATCCATTGTCGATGTTTGTGACAGAGAGAGACTGATATATGGGTTTATTCTTTAGTGTAATTGCTAGTTGTTTATTGCACGTACGATTACAGTCGTGATAAATACGTAAACTAACATGTGAACCAAGTCCATCTTTAACTTTACTGTACGTATATACAGTAAAGTTATCCGACAACTTGCTGAAATCTGATACCCACCTGTCTGTTATATGTCATTACAGAGACTAATGTATATAGAAAAGATCGTAAAAGGGAATTGATTGGCCTGCATCTTTTCCAGATCTGATTCCTCGAGACTTCCTTTCAGTGAAATATTCAAAAGATATACACTGTAGTGAAGACAGTGATATGGAGATTGAGCTCGTATCTGTGTATAGAGTTCTACACAGACAAGAAAACAAACTATACGTTGAACGTCTGTATCGGCATTGCTTTCTATTCAGTAAACTCCTCTATTCACTGTATTTTTAGAAATATTAAATACTTGGTTAGATAAAGTTTAAAATTTAAACTTTTTAACTTTTAAAATAAGTTTTAAATTTATTATTTGGATTATTGTTTGACTTACTGTCACCATTGGATATAGTCATACGAATATGCGGTTTCGGNAGAGTCTCTATAATCCGTCACTTGTCAGTCCCATGCATGCAGTAATCTGACACTTAGCAGGACAGCACATTTGAAATTTTTATGTTGGTTGTATCCATTGTCGGTGTTTGTGACAGAGAGAGACTGATATGTGTGTTTATTCTTTAGTGTAATTGCTAGTTATTTATTGCAAAACGATTACAGTCGTGATTAATATGTAAACTAATATGTGAACCAACTGCGTCTTTAACTTTACTGTACATATATATGTTACTGTGAAAGACCGAAATTAGAGAATGTCGACACATACAAAATACGTCGGTGAAAGTCCGAGTATTTGGTTACATTATTATACATTCGAACAATCTCTGGTGTATGTCGACAAGCACAGATAAGCTTTAGTGGAGGTCGAAACGACACCCGAGAAGCTGATGTCGACAGAGAGGCGACAGTCTGTCGTCAAATCCTTTGTGGGTAGCCAGAAGTAGGACAAGGTCTTTTGATTCCGTGAGGTGGGGATCGGTTTGTCAGGTCGAGGGGCGGAGGATGAGACGAGTTGTCGGTAAGGCGTCGGTGATATCTAAATAAAAGACACCATTAACAGATCAGTTCGTAATCACGTAATAACGTCATCAGTTCGTAATTTGTAAAAAAAAGTTACTTTTCATAGATGAGATTTCTTCTCAAGAATTATCGCTGAGAGAAGCAGCTGCAGCTAATTCGAAAAGTTGAGGCAAAGCTATACACGCTGTCATTGCAAAAAACAAGTGTTCCACGAATAAATGCAGTTGTAAAAGCAAGGGAATCTTGTGCAATTCAAAGTGCCATAACAGTTTAAGTTGTTGCAATAAATAAAATTGTATAACATTAATCACATAATTTATGTGTAAGTTTATTATTGTATTAGTTTCTTTAATAATTAAAAATGTACTGTTCTTTTAGGTTCAACAGTTTATTTAAATGTGCTGTTACTTAAGCTTTCTCTTATTTTCACATATTAAAATGTTGCATTTTTGTCTTAACGTAATAAAAATATTTTTATTTAACATTCACCATCAGTGCATGCTGAATGTCGACATTTGCTAGTGTAAGTGAAAAATAATGATATTTAGCCAATATTTCGTACATACACGAAACAACTGTGTGAATGCTGACATTCACCGGAGAATGTTGGCATTCGCCAGATATCGGTCATTCAAAGTAACATATACATTCAAAACCCAGTAATCCGACAATTTGCTGAAATCTGATACCCACCTATCTGATATATGTCGTATTACAGAGAGTACTGTATATAGAAAATATCGTAATAGGGAATTGATTGGCCTGCATATTTTCCAGATCTGATTCCTCGAGACTTCCTTTTACTGAGTTATCCTGAAGATATACACTGTATTGAAGACAGTGATATTGAGATTGAGCTCGTATCTGTGTATAGAGTTCTACACAGACAAGGAAACACACTACAGGTTGAAAGTCTGTATCGGCATTGCTCCCTATTCAGTAAACTCCTCTATTCACTGTATTCTTACAAATATCAGATACTTGGATTAATAAAGTTTTAAATTTAAAACTACTTAACTTTTAAATTTAAAATAAGTTTTAAATTTATTATTTGGATTATTGTTTTACTCAATGTCACTGTTGGATATAATCACACGAATACTGTACGTGGTTTCGGTAAAATAGGGCAGTTTGATTCCTGTTGGCTCTCATGATAAATGTGATATAAACAAATATATTGTACTGCAGAATTCCATATATAATATCACAATTTAGATCACACTTTTACTGGCAAGCCACCACACAAACCGTCTATTCTATTGTTAACAAGTTTTCCCTGAAAGAAAGATTACTAATGGCCGTATAATCAGAATAACAGCCGATTGCTCTGTGTACCTGCTAATGAACTTGGATTGGTCAGAAAGCTCCAGCAATTTTTGAAGGGTGGTCCAATCGGATATGTCAAACCCTTTACTCTCCACCCAACTGCCCATTGTGGGTCTGACCAAACTCATAATGAGCTTGCTAAAATAACTTTCTTAGTGATCGCAGAGAAAGAGTTTAAAAAATTTCAAACGCATCTATAAGCATGAATGTGAGGAATAGGGATAATAACCTGATCTGAAGTGTTCATAGAAAATCACAAGATACTAGATCGCATTCAGACATGTAGAATCTTTTGTCTGCTGTCACGTTGAAGAAATTTATAATTTATTTAAATTATATTGGTTATGAAAAGTAATGACACTTATCATTATTGAAATCGTAAACTTTGACAACACTGGACTGCATATTTTTAACAGTATAATCACTTTTCACACGGAAGATAATACAAATTGGCGATTCGTGTAAAATCTAAATTTAAGTAATTATTAAAAGTTACTCACGGTATGTAAAAACGTATATATCTAATGATAATTTTACAAAAAAATTGATAAGACAAGATGGCTCAGAAAGTCATTTAACTATAATTAAGTTTACTCAATACGTATATTTAAGTACGCATATTCAAGGCTGTATAGAAAAAGATTTAGCAATCGAAGTAAAACTAAATTTGGGACTATGGATAACTTGAATAAATTTGGTTTCAGGACATGCAGATGTTTCCATAAAAAATTAATAATAATACACGGCAACGTGTCGTTTGGTATTGCATATAGCATAAAAGTACTGTAGTTTCGTTTGAGGAACCACTTAAGAATAGTGGTTTATGGATGATGCATTGCAAATTTGGAAGCCTTTAAAGATTATTAAGTTGCATGCAAGAAGAAACACAAAGTATTGGTCGTGGACAGGTGTTGAACACACTATTCATCACTTTCAGAATTTACAGCTTCAGAATGAGGACAACATTAAACAGTATCCTTACGTTAGCACAGAAATAAAGTATTTGTCATTATGGCACTGCAAACAAGTTTTAGTACATTTATTAAATATTTTTCTATGGAAATGTCTACAGAATTTGTTAAAATTTTACCATACCAAATTCGGTTACAATTCAGCTGATGAATATTTCTCTAGACAGTGTTAAATTAAGATACTTAAAGATCGTTTTGTATAAAAAACATGATTTAACCATTTGTAAGATATTAATTAATTGGTTAATTGACTTCTATGACTTTCAGTATAAATTACAGTATCAATTTTTCATACATACATGATCCAAATAGAATATAATTTTTCTATCTTGAATTTCATATCTGTCAACAGGACTTTTGTGATCATTAACGAGCTACAAAAAAGAATAATAGTATCATTATTACTTGCAAGTATTCAAATATTTTATCAAGAAATTCTGAACTTATCTGTCTGTAGTACTATAGTATTAATTTAAGGATGGCCGAAGATGGCTACAGTCTCTGCCTACCATTCCAATGACCTGGTCTGAGTGGACGACGACAGGAATTTGTTAAGTCTCTCCGGGCTATGTCAGGCCTGGAGAGACTTAAAAAATGACTGGGTGATACACAGTCATTTTCATTCTGATCCTGGCCAAATCCGTGAGGGAAATGATAAAAAGAACTACGTAGTGCCCTTGGGGCAGAAAATACTTCAAATTACAATATTTTATTGAATAATTGTATTATTTAACTTTTTCAGCCATATATGCAATAAGAGAAGCTTACTGTACCTTACTAACATGTAAAGGTATGTTTCATATCTTTTGCAATGTGGTACTTAAGTAAAAGCCTTAATTATATTAACCTATTTACCTTAAAAGTAGGTCTACTCTACTGAATCATCATGTAGCCAAGTCCATAATAGCTTGGTTGCCGGATGATAATGAAGTCATGTACTGTAGTTTTAGCACTTACAATTTAATGAAATTAAGAATGAATTTAAAATTAGATAGATGAAATAAACCTACAGGGTCATTTCATTGGTTAAGTGCAAACGTGCAGCCAACTACCAGTATTTAATGGTTTTATTCACTCAGCCACTGCTAAGAAATCAAACTATTATTATGACTTGACACATACTGGGGTATATCATTTTTAATTTCATTGCATATACCTTCATGAATATTTCCAAAATTGTATTTTTACCAAAACTATTTTTAATTTAATTTAAATACTTCATACATAAGTTAATTTTCACGAAGAGCTGTAACATATTTGATGACATTAATTAATGTAGTGTGAACCACAGTTGTCTTAATATTGCTGAATATTGGTACTTGGTTGTGGTTTGCACCAGACTAATGGGCTGGCTGTATGGATTTTTCTGAATTTTCTTCGTGTGTTTATCATCTTAATCGGGCCAACCCCTTGCAGATTGCATTGGTCTTCTCGTATTTATCTAGTCCAATCGTGTAATCAGAACACCAACAGAATATGAATGGTGGTTGAAAGCTGAATTATACAGTACTTACATTATTTAAATCTCCTATAATTGGACTGAATCCACTGAATATTCCAGCCTCAATAATAGTCATGTCTGAATTTTCAGTGGAAAGATATCTACAGAGAATTAAAATTAACATGTAATTAAATTCTAGGTACTTCAAATTATATATTGTAATAATTCGACTTTTATGAAAAGTGGCCATTATGTTATTAAACAGTCAAATGAATTTTTAAATTGCATATAAATCAGTTAACCATTTTCAAAGCTTTTTCTATTGTTTGCACGTTAAGATAGTCTTTTAACCATAGCTTTCATCAGTTTGTAAGACTCATCCTAACTAGAACTTCAATTTAGAGTTTCTAGAAAAGCAAGTAGGTACCTTTATTGTCTTGGTCATCCAGCCTATGTTAACTTTTTTATGTTTTTGTTAATATAATTATGAATATGAATGTAAGTTCTAGTTTACAGCCGAAATTTCTGGGAAACTTGTAATTAAATGTGGTCAAACAACACCAGAAATTCTTCATAGATGGTCTGTATTCAAGTCTGTATGTCAGATCCTAACTGCCTGAATCGATTGTAGTCAAAAAACCAATGGTAGAGAAGATGATGTTTTTGGTGCCTACAGCAAAGTGAAGACATACGAAATATTTAATTAAATTATTTATTTTAAAATTAAGTTTAGGTTAAAATAGATATGACAATTTGAACAAAGCAATATCTTTATGATATATGTTTTAGTAGACAAAAGAAATTCAGAAAGAGAGCTGGTCCTATTGTAGCAAGTTCATTTGGGAGCAGGCTAGCTAGTGAAGAATTGGGTGTTACATTCCCGGATGGATCTCTTGTGAAAAATGCTTAAGGTTTCTCGACTTATTCGGATCCCAGGACCCAATAACAAGCTTCAATCTTGGCCTCTTGGCATCTCCGTTAAGGCTATTTAAGATTGACACTTTAGTGTAAGTTTCGAAAATAATTGAAAATAGTCTTAGAATCCAAAAGTTAATTGTGTTCATTTTGTTTATATGTTCGCTTTTCTGAGTTACTATTTAGTCCTGGATTTGCAGTGTATCACAAAGTAAGGTTAAACAGACAATCACTTACACATTCACTCAAAAGATTTAAAGTTACTTAAACAGTAATTACTTATTTTAAACTTTAGATAGCACCACCAAAGAACTCTTTCACACAACTGATTATATACCCGTTAATTTATTAACCGGTATATTTTTTACTGTGTTAATTGTCTCATATTATTTTCATATTATAAGGCAATTAGCACGGATTAGGTGGGCAGACCAAGTAATGATGATTACAGGATATACAATGTATGAAACCATTGGCATGGCACAACACTGGGAGCAGTGGAAAGATACATTTAAAGCCGTCAACTCGTAATATCACCAAGCTTTTCACCTGTCACACTAATCGTATCACTAAGTGATGAATAACAAACGTTTTCGTAACCCTTTCTGAGTTATTCAGGTTCACTTAATTTCAAAAATAAGCTGGATCTACCCGAATCATGCATAAATATAAATTCGAACTTAAAATCAAACATTAAGACGAAGAGTTCGAATAAAGCGAACCCAACTTTAAATACGATGGAACACTAAATAACGTTGAAAATGTTTAGAAGGGTCTAAAAATATATTCGATTGTAAGCAAAAATGCAAAAAAGTATGTAAAATAGTACAGTAGAAGCCGAGTTCTTCGGGGTAATCTTTAACCTATCCCTTTTTCCGCAAGGGAAATTTCCAAAAAATCCCCTTTTTAGTGTATGTACGTACTCATGACTTACCCTAACTGTGTTCCAGATTTCAACTTTCAACTCCTAACCGTTTGGGCTCTGCGCTTATTAGTATTACTGTAATGTTCCCAGGCTTTTGTGTAGTGTGTGTAATATGGCACCTATACAGGAAAGAACGACAGGTACAGTACAATAAGCACCCTGTCTATCCCCCACAGATGACTTATTTCCTGAGCGAGTTATGTGTACTTGCTGATTTTTTTCAGTGCATGTGTTTTATATATTGTGAGTATTTTGGAGTGAATATGTCTATATTATGTGAGGGTCAGGGGATCGTCAAAACTTAGATTACGTTAAGTTAGGGTAGGGTTTTGCCAACAGGTGTATTTTGTCCGATACACCGCCGATTTTGACACAAAGAGATAGTTAATTCAATAAATCTGCCTATTTCTATATATAAAACAAGGAGGCTGCCTAACAGGGAGATATCCGAACTATAACATACCAGGAAATAGAAAGCCGTCTTCTTCAGTAGGGCTGGTCTAGTTCCTTCTTACCTTTGCTTGGTCCTTCACTGTTGTCCGCCGGTAAATGGCGTTCGCTTCTAGTCAAATGTTTCCTTGCGATTATTGCGGGATGAGTCCACTTATGTCTACTGTTGTTGTCCGCCGATGAGGTCCGCCATTGATGCTTTCCTCGTATCGGATGGTTCGTTGGGAGTTCGGCAAGGCCGGTGCTGTCTACCGAGGAGTTTTCTGATGCCTGAATTTGGGCCTCTTTTATACACCTTTCAGCGCAGGAGAGTCATCATATGACTTACTATTATTAATGGTTCGACTTTTGAGCTGAGTCATTACAGTAGCAAAACCGTTTTAATTTTTTTTTATGGTGATAACGCCTAACTCCACGCTCCCATCATTATTCATCGATTGTTTTCGTCTGTTAAGCTCGAACTTCTCGTGCCTTGGTACGGTGTTCGATCGCCTCTATGATCGGCAGAGAGGGGAAAACGGAAAGTGGGGTTTTCCCACTTCCTTTAAGTTTTATTTTATTACAAATTAATTTAATTACTTGATTTCCCTCTNTACATTTTGATAAAAAAAAATTCCATCTGTACCAAATTTAATATAGAGAAATTAGAGCAGTTTGGTTCCTGTTGGTTCTCATGATAGGTGTGACATAAACAAATATATTATTATATATGTAATGTACTGTAGAATTCCAATTTAGATCATACTTTTATTGGTAAGCCACCGGACAAACCGTCTATTCTATTGTTAAGAAGTTTTACTCTGAAAAAAAGATTGTCGAGTAATCGGAATGACAGCTCATTGCTCTGTGTACCAGCGATTGAACTTGGATTGGTCAGAAAGCTTTAGCATTTTTTGAAAGGTAATCAAATCGGATATGTTAAACCTTTTACTCTCCATCCAATTGCCCATTGTGGATCTCATAATTGGCTTGCTAAAACGGCTTTCTTAGTGATTGCGGAGTAACAGTTTAAAAAATTTCAAAGGCATCTGTAAGCATGAATGTAAGGAATTGTGATAATTACATGATCTGAAGAGTCCATAGAAAATCACAAGATACTAGATTGCATTCAGACATGTAGAATCTTTAGACTGCTGTCACGTTAAAGAAATTTATAATTTATTTAAGTTATATTTTATACGAAAAGTAAGGACACTTACCATTACTGAAATCGTAAACTTTGACAACACTGGACTGCATATTTCCAACAATATGATCTCTTATCACACGGAAGATAATACAAATTGGCAATTTATGTGAAATCTAAATTTGAGTAATTATTAAAAGTTACTAACGGTATGTAAAAACGTATATCTTTAAGCACAATTTTACAAAAAATTGATGAAACAAGATGGCTCAGTAAGTCATTTAACTATAATTAAGTTTTCTTAATTCATATATATAAGTACCCTTATTTAACGCTGTCTAGAGAAAGATTTAGCAATCAAACAAAAACCAAATTTGGTACTATGGACAACGTTAAAGAACATAAAGATGTTTCCATAAAAAATTAATAATAAGACGCCGCAACATGTCGTTTGGTATTGCATATAGCATAAAAGTAGTTTTATTTGAGGAACCACTTAAGAATAGTGGTTTATAGACGATATATTGCAAATTTGGAAGATTATCAAGTTGCATGCAAGAAAAATCACCAAGTATTGGTTATAGACAGGTGTCGAACACACTATTCATCACCTTCAGATTTTTCATTTTCAGAATGAGAACAACATTAAACAGTATTTTTACGTTAGCACAGAAATAAAATATTTGTCATTATGACACTACAAACAACAAGTTTTAGTACACTTATTAAATATTTTTCTATGGAAATGTCTACAGCATTTGCTAAAATTTTACCATACCAAATTCGGTTACAATTCAGCTGATAAATATTTCTCTAGACAGTGTTGAATTAAGATACTTAAAGATCGTTTTGTACCAAGAACATTAAGTTGTTTTGAATAATTTAACCATTTGTAAGATATTAATTAATAGGTTAATTGACTTCTATGACATTCAGTATAAATTACAGTATAAATTTTTCATACATACATGATCCAAATAGAATATAATTTTTCTATCTTTAATTTCATATCTGTCAACAGGACTTTTGTGATCATTAACGATCTACAAAAAAGTATAATAGAATCATTATTACTTGCGAGTATTCAAATATTTTATCAAGAAATTCTGAACTTATCTGTCTGTAGTACTATAGAGTTAATTCAAGGATGGTCGAAGATGGCTACAGCTTCTACCTACCATTCCAATGATTTGGTCTGAGTGGACGACGACAGGAATTTGTTAAGTCTCTCCAGGCTATGTCTAACCTGGAGAGACTTAAAAAATGACTGGGTGATACCCAGTCATTTTCATTCTGATCCTGGCAGTATACACAGTAAGAGAAGCTTACTGTATTTAACTAATATGTACAGGTATGTTTCGTATCTTTTGCAATGCAATGTGGTACTTAAGTAAAAGCCTTAATTATATTAACCTATTTATCTTAAAAGTGGGTCTATGCTACTTAATCATCATACAGCCAAGCCCATAATAGCTTGATTGCCGGATGATAATGAAGTCAGAATATTGTAGTTTTTAGCAATTACAATTTAATCAAATTAAGGATGAATTTAAATAGTAAAGAAATAAAAGTGTGTTTTATTATGCTATACCAAAATGTGGATGGAATAAAACTTCATCTTCAATTTGAACTATTTTATGAATTGATATAAATAGGCAAATACAATACTTCGACACTCTACCAAGAATGTATGATTTCTAGGCTAACTTCTTCCTATTTATTGGGCAAATTGGGAAATTGACCGTTTATTACATGTTAGATAGATGAAATAAACCTACAGAGTCATTTCATTGGTTAAGTGCAAACGTGCAGCCAACGACCAGTATTCAGTGATTTTATTCCAACAGAATATGTATCAACAGAATATGTACCAGTGGTGGCTGAAAGCGAAATTTTACTTACATTATTTAAATCTCCTTTAATTGGACTGAATCCAGTGAATATTCCAGCCTCAATAATAGTCATGTTTGAATCTTCAGTAGAAAGATATCTACAGAGAATCAAAATCAACATATAATTAAATTCTTGATACTTTAAATTATATACTTATATATATATATATATATAATTAACGTGATAATTCGACTTTTATGAAAAGTGGCCATTATGTTATTAAACAGTCATATGAATTTTTAAATTGCTTATAAATTAGTTAACCATTTTGAAAACTTTTTCTACTGTATGCAAGTTAAGATAGTCTTTTAACCACAGCTTTTATCAGTTTGTAAGACTCTTCCTAACTAGAACTTCAATCCAGAGTTTCTAGAAGAGCAAGTAGGTACCTTTATTGTCTTGGTCATCCATCCTATGTTAACGTTTTAATGCTTTTGTTAATATAATTATGAATACGAATGGAAATCCTACAGTAAAGCTTTGTAATTTATGTATTAAACAACGAGTTATCTTTTTCCTGCAACTTTAATGAGATGGCTGGGGTAGTTCAAGTTGCCAGCCGAAATTTCTGGGAAACTTGTAATTAAATGTGGTCAAACAACACCAGAAATTCTTCATAGATGGTCTGTATTCAAGACTGTATGTCAGATCTTAACTGCCTTGCCTACTATTAATTTTTTGACCACAATCGGTTCATGATTGTGGTCAAAAAATTAATAGTAGGCAAGGTGATGTTTTTAGTGCTTACAGCAAAGTGTTATACATGAAAAAGGACAACATTTGTGAAGTTTTTATGTAATAAATTATTTGAATAATATATGAATATAGTTTTTAAAATGGTTTAGAGACGCTAACTAAAAATATTTAAGTTGTTATTCAGATAACATGACTCATGTATTGAGAAAAATCTTCATCAGTCTGAGAAACCTGTCGCAGTGTGTCGTGTCAACTTTTGCCTTTAGTCTTGATCTTAAGCTAACATATTAAACAAATTGTAATATTGGCTTCAATGATATTCAGGTAAGAATTGTATACCTTGTTGTTAATTATAAAAAATATTAAATTTGATACATTTTGATAAAAAAAAATTCCATCTGTACCAAATTTAATATAGAGAAATTAGAGCAGTTTGGTTCCTGTTGGTTCTCATGATAGGTGTGATATAAACAAATATATTATTATATATGTAATGTACTGTAGAATTCCAATTTAGATCATACTTTTATTGGTAAGCCACCGGACAAACCGTCTATTCTATTGTTAAGAAGTTTTACTCTGAAAAAAAGATTGTCGAGTAATCGGAATGACAGCTCATTGCTCTGTGTACCAGCGATTGAACTTGGATTGGTCAGAAAGCTTTAGCATTTTTTGAAAGGTAATCAAATCGGATATGTTAAACCTTTTACTCTCCATCCAATTGCCCATTGTGGATCTCATAATTGGCTTGCTAAAACGGCTTTCTTAGTGATTGCGGAGTAACAGTTTAAAAAATTTCAAAGGCATCTGTAAGCATGAATGTAAGGAATTGTGATAATTACATGATCTGAAGAGTCCATAGAAAATCACAAGATACTAGATTGCATTCAGACATGTAGAATCTTTAGACTGCTGTCACGTTAAAGAAATTTATAATTTATTTAAGTTATATTTTATACGAAAAGNAGGAAAAACTTTTTAGGATGAGAACAATGTAAAAAAGGCTATTTCTGAATATTTTGATTCAAAACCGAAATCATTTCACAAAGACGGGATTAAAAAGCTACCATCAAGATGGAAAGAAATTGTACAAAATAATGATGAATACATTATAGATAGAAATAAGATTTGATTAAAATTTTTTGTTGCTGTTTTTGTAGATAAAAATGCGCACGAACTTATGGACTGACCTGATACTTACCTGCTACATATTTCAACTTCAAAAATAAGTTTACTTTGAGGATTGACCGAATGAGGACTGTTGACGAAATGAAATTCGTGTACATTTATGACTTCTCCACATTCTATTAATTTGTATATATGAAATAAATTAAATAAAATTAAAAATTAAGCGATAAAAGTAAAAAAGGTAATTGTTTCACTTCAAATTAGTCATCACTAGCTAATAAATATATAACCAGATATAAAAATTTATGATTAATTTTATAACATAGACCTATTGAAATGCGTTACCTTTTTTACAATAAGGATTATTTTTTTCCGTTGAAAAGTGATTGTTTACTTCAGAAACATGTACAGTAGTTTCGAACTAATATAAATAGAAAACTTTATTTAGCCAAATAATACTGTACTTATAATTTAAGACTATAAATAAAAAGTAGCAGTTGTGTAAATCTAAATACTTACTAGACATGTCTCTTTCTGATCTTCTGCTACATTATATCTTAATTTTACTGATAATAATCCAATTCCCCTTCCACTCACGTTCAAGTATAACATACCATCTAATTTATCGAGCTGTACAATCAAAGTGACAAATATTTTAGCAGAAATTTAAATCACCTAAAACAGCGTCATATAAATTATTTATTTTAAATAAAATAATAATTAGTTTAGGTAAAAACAGATATGACAATTTGAACAACGCAATATCTTTATGATGTATGTTTTAGTGGACAAAAGAAATTCAGAAAGAGAGCGGGTCCTATTGTAACAAGCCCATTTGGGAACAGGCTAGCTAGTGATAAATTGGGTCTTACATCTCCGGATGGATCTCTTGTAAAAAATTCTTAAGGTTTTTCGACCCATTCGGATCCCAGGACCCAATAACAAGCTTCAATCTTGGCCTCTTGGCATCTCCGTTAAGGCTATTTAAGATTGACACTTTAGTGTAAGCTTCGAAAACGATTGAAAATAGTCTTAGAATCCAGAAGTTATTTGTGTTCATTTTGTTTATATGTTCGTTTTTTCTTAGTTATTATTTAGTCCTGGATTTGCAGTGTACCACAAAGTAAGGTTAAACAGACAATCACTTACACACTCACTCAAAAGATTTAAAGTTACTTAAACGGTAATTACTTATTGTAAACTTTGAAAAGTACCACCAAAGAACTTTTTCATACAACTGATTATAATATATTAACGGGTATAATAATTTTTTACTGTGCTAATTGTCTCATATTATTCTCATATTATGAGGCAATTTGCACGGATTAGGTGGGCATACCAAGTAATGATTATTACAGGATATACAATGTATGAAGCCATCCTCATGGTACAACACTGGGAGCAGTGGAAAGATACATTTAAAGCCGTCAACTCGTAATATCACCACGCCCTTCGCTATCACACTAATCGTTGCGTGGTATTACTAAGTGATGGATAACAAACGTTTTCGTAACCATTTCTGAGTTTTTCAGGTTTACTTAATTTCAAAAATAAGCTGGATCTTTTCGAATCATTCATAAATATAAATTCGAACATAAAATCAAACATTAAGACGAAGAGTTCGAATAAGGCGAACACGACTTTAAATACGATAGAACACTAAATAACGTTGAAAATGTTTAGAAGGGTCTAAAAATATATTCGATTCTAAGCAAAAATGCAAAAAAAAGTATCTAAAATAGTATAGTAGAAGCCGAGTTCTTCGGGGTAATCTTTAATCCTATCCCTCTCCCCGCAAGAGAAATTTCCAAAAAATCCCTTTTTAGTGTACGTTCTCGTGACTTACCGTAACTGTGTACCAAATTTCAACTTCCAACTCTTAACCGTTTGGGCTCTGCGCTTATTAGTATTATTGTAATGTTCCCAGGCTTTTGTGTAGCGTGTGTAATATGACACCTATACAGGAAAGAACCACAGGTACAGTACAATAAGCACCCTATCTATCCCCCACAGATGACTTATTTCCTGAGAGAGTTATGTGTACAGTACTTGCTGATTTTTTTCAGTGCATGTGTTTTATAAATTGTGAGTGTTTGGAATGACTATGTCTATAATGTGTGAGGGTCAGGTGGTCGTCAAAAGTTACATTACGTTAAGTTAGGATAGGGTTCTGCCATCAGGTGTATTTTGTCGGATACAATTTAACAATAAAACAATAATTTATATACACATATCATATCCAAGATTTTAAAGTTTTTTTGCATTATGTGTTGAATTTAATTAAACTTATAAGTTGTGTTTTATATATTGTGAGTGTTTGGAATGACTATGTCTATAATGTGTAAGGGTAAGGTGGTCGTCAAAAGTTACTTTGAATAATATATGAATATAGTTTTTAAAATGGTTTAGAGACGTCTTGGCCAATCTATGTAATAACATTACATATGTAACTATGCAATAACATGGCCTTTTTTATCAGGCCAGTCCATAAGTTCGTGCGTATTTTATGACCTTGAGAAAAATCTTGTTTTGCTTTTAAAAATGCCATCTAATGTGATACATTTTACACTGGAGTGTTCAATTGGATCTCATTCATATAATACGGTTCAGAATTGGGAACATTTCAGTTGTTTATTTTCGTTAAAATGGAAGTAACAGATGAATATAAGAGACATGTTTTATACTTTTTATTTTTAAGTGATGAGAATGCTACAAATGCAGCCAAAAAATTAAATACTGTTCATAATCAAACTGTAATTAGTGTAAGGACTGTGCAGAAGTGGTTTGAAAGATGTAGAAATAATGATTTTAGTGTGGAGGACAAGGCTCGTACTGGAAGACCTGTTAACTTTGATGATAATGCTCTCTCTACACTAGTTGAAGCAGAACCATCTTTAACAGTTGATGAAATTGCGGAACGTTTAAATTCATCCCATGGAACTGTTCATAGACATCTACAACAAATCGGAAAAGTTTCAAAGCTAGGAAAATGGATACCACATGAACTGTCAATAGCTAACTGACAACAACGTCAACTGCTCAACTCAAAAGCTTCAACTGGGAAATTTTACCTCATCCACCATATTTGCCAGATATTGCTCCCAGTGATTATCATCTTTTTCGGAGTTTGCAGAATTTTTTAAAAGGAAAAACTTTTTAGGATGAGAACAATGTAAAAAAGGCTATTTCTGAATATTTTGATTCAAAACCGAAATCATTTCACAAAGACGGGATTAAAAAGCTACCATCAAGATGGAAAGAAATTGTACAAAATAATGATGAATACATTATAGATAGAAATAAGATTTGATTAAAATTTTTTGTTGCTGTTTTTGTAGATAAAAATGCGCACGAACTTATGGACTGACCTGATACTTACCTGCTACATATTTCAACTTCAAAAATAAGTTTACTTTGAGGATTGACCGAATGAGGACTGTTGACGAAATGAAATTCGTGTACATTTATGACTTCTCCACATTCTATTAATTTGTATATATGAAATAAATTAAATAAAATTAAAAATTAAGCGATAAAAGTAAAAAAGGTAATTGTTTCACTTCAAATTAGTCATCACTAGCTAATAAATATATAACCAGATATAAAAATTTATGATTAATTTTATAACATAGACCTATTGAAATGCGTTACCTTTTTTACAATAAGGATTATTTTTTTCCGTTGAAAAGTGATTGTTTACTTCAGAAACATGTACAGTAGTTTCGAACTAATATAAATAGAAAACTTTATTTAGCCAAATAATACTGTACTTATAATTTAAGACTATAAATAAAAAGTAGCAGTTGTGTAAATCTAAATACTTACTAGACATGTCTCTTTCTGATCTTCTGCTACATTATATCTTAATTTTACTGATAATAATCCAATTCCCCTTCCACTCACGTTCAAGTATAACATACCATCTAATTTATCGAGCTGTACAATCAAAGTGACAAATATTTTAGCAGAAATTTAAATCACCTAAAACAGCGTCATATAAATTATTTATTTTAAATAAAATAATAATTAGTTTAGGTAAAAACAGATATGACAATTTGAACAACGCAATATCTTTATGATGTATGTTTTAGTGGACAAAAGAAATTCAGAAAGAGAGCGGGTCCTATTGTAACAAGCCCATTTGGGAACAGGCTAGCTAGTGATAAATTGGGTCTTACATCTCCGGATGGATCTCTTGTAAAAAATTCTTAAGGTTTTTCGACCCATTCGGATCCCAGGACCCAATAACAAGCTTCAATCTTGGCCTCTTGGCATCTCCGTTAAGGCTATTTAAGATTGACACTTTAGTGTAAGCTTCGAAAACGATTGAAAATAGTCTTAGAATCCAGAAGTTATTTGTGTTCATTTTGTTTATATGTTCGTTTTTTCTTAGTTATTATTTAGTCCTGGATTTGCAGTGTACCACAAAGTAAGGTTAAACAGACAATCACTTACACACTCACTCAAAAGATTTAAAGTTACTTAAACGGTAATTACTTATTGTAAACTTTGAAAAGTACCACCAAAGAACTTTTTCATACAACTGATTATAATATATTAACGGGTATAATAATTTTTTACTGTGCTAATTGTCTCATATTATTCTCATATTATGAGGCAATTTGCACGGATTAGGTGGGCATACCAAGTAATGATTATTACAGGATATACAATGTATGAAGCCATCCTCATGGTACAACACTGGGAGCAGTGGAAAGATACATTTAAAGCCGTCAACTCGTAATATCACCACGCCCTTCGCTATCACACTAATCGTTGCGTGGTATTACTAAGTGATGGATAACAAACGTTTTCGTAACCATTTCTGAGTTTTTCAGGTTTACTTAATTTCAAAAATAAGCTGGATCTTTTCGAATCATTCATAAATATAAATTCGAACATAAAATCAAACATTAAGACGAAGAGTTCGAATAAGGCGAACACGACTTTAAATACGATAGAACACTAAATAACGTTGAAAATGTTTAGAAGGGTCTAAAAATATATTCGATTCTAAGCAAAAATGCAAAAAAAAGTATCTAAAATAGTATAGTAGAAGCCGAGTTCTTCGGGGTAATCTTTAATCCTATCCCTCTCCCCGCAAGAGAAATTTCCAAAAAATCCCTTTTTAGTGTACGTTCTCGTGACTTACCGTAACTGTGTACCAAATTTCAACTTCCAACTCTTAACCGTTTGGGCTCTGCGCTTATTAGTATTATTGTAATGTTCCCAGGCTTTTGTGTAGCGTGTGTAATATGACACCTATACAGGAAAGAACCACAGGTACAGTACAATAAGCACCCTATCTATCCCCCACAGATGACTTATTTCCTGAGAGAGTTATGTGTATAGTACTTGCTGATTTTTTTCAGTGCATGTGTTTTATATATTGTGAGTGTTTGGAATGACTATGTCTATAATGTGTAAGGGTAAGGTGGTCGTCAAAAGTTACATTACGTTAAGTTAGGATAGGGTTCTGCCATCAGGTGTATTTTGTCGGATACAATTTGACAATAAAATAATAATTTATATACAGAAAGTAGAGAAATGAAAGTAGCAATTTATAATTTAGAAAAATGATTATTAAAATATGTATTATATGTAACAGATCGTTGATATTTTGATAACAATTAATTCTCCAGATCTTCGCATAATGTTGAATATAAAATTATTACTATATTATTTTCATCAGTCGTGTTGTAGCATTCTATGCACTTCTATAGAATTTCATTCGCGAATAAAGACTAGAGAATAGTGCATATTTTGGAATTTTGATGCGAAAAGAAGTACAATTACCTATTTGATATGGAAAAAAAAGAATAATGGACGAACCACTTCAGAAATATACGAGTAAAAATGTTTTAAGTAAATTGATTTATAACATTTAGCTTACCTCCATTCGTTGAAGGATTAAACCATTTTCATTGTTAATATGTATTGTTCTCACCGCGCCTTTATCGTGGTTGGTCGAAACGTTGCACGTTAATGATATATTTGTGAATTTCGATTTTATGACGTATTGTGATAATGCTTGTAGTGCCAGTGTAGCCTGTAAATGAAATGAAAAAATAATAGAATAATACAGAAGTATTATATGCAATTTTATATATTTACATAAATTTCTTTACGATTTTCAAAGTACTGAATATGGGCGACCGAGATGGTAAAAGTGCCAACCTACCACAATAGGCACCTTTATTAAATTTCACAGCTGTTTTCACTTCTTGGCCACTTCCACTGTTGATCTAGCAGCCTTTTATATGTTGATTGTGGACATAAAAAAGCCCTCACAATATCCACAGAGTGAAGAATTCAAAACACAAGTTACAGTAATTATAAAATTTATAGTTTAACTATATATGATTGAGTCGAAGAGATGGCTCTGATTTACATGTAGATTAACGCCATGTGTTCGAATTTTTACGGCAAATTTACAAAAACAGTAGAGCGTCGTTTATCAGAAACGTCGGTTATCCGAAAGAATTCCAGTCAGCAAATTTAAATTTTCGCTAGAGCTGTGGTGCTGCAATTTGTGGCTATATCTTGGGCTACTCCAATATTATTTTTATTGATGTATGTGTTTTAGCTGGCAGTACTGGCACTATTGTGTGGTGTTTTTCTGAGGTGACGCAACGGATAAAAATTTCAACATGGGATAGATTAATATGTTTTTTCGTGCATAATCGGTTATCCAAAAAAATAAGTTACCCGAACAACCCCAGTCCCCAATTGATTCGGATAAACGACGCTCTACTGTATAACAATGATTAATAATAGAAATCCCACAGTATAAATATTTTATAAAGTACTCATAAATACCTGACTAGAAGGAAAGTAGCCTCCATCAAGACGTTGTTTATTCATCCAATTGACAATTGAAAGAGATGTTGACATATTTTCCAATTGCAATTGAGTTAAAAGGCCATAAGCAGAGATTTCTATCGATTTAGATATTGAAGATTTATCCCAATACCTTTGATTTAATTCTAATTGAGATAATATAAAGAATTCTTAAAAATCACTAAATAAATGAAGATGTTCAATTTACTGTATTTTATTATACTTAAAGACATTTACCTTCATCATAAGCTGACATTCCTATAAGTTTTTCGTTTGCTCGCTGCTTTTTCTGACTATTTGTTACTGCAAGAGCGTAAGCAGTTAATGCCATGATATATGAATCATTTATGGATTCGTACTGCATTTCCAAAAATGATTTCGCATTTAGCCGAGCACAAGTTGAATTCTACAAATATAGTTATAATAATAATTGAAATATTTCAACATTTAATTTACTTTTTAAAAATCTTTAGTAGATTTTACTTACTACATAACTACATTTACATTCTTGCAAAATAGTGAGCAAAAATGCAGTCATAGGGATTTTTCCATTACCTCCTGTCTATGAAAGAAAGTATTTTGTTTAATGAATTTATTATTTTTGTATAATCTGAATGATTTACCATTATATTTCTTAATATAATTGGATAGTAATCTTCGAATGATCCATCAAAATTTTGTTTTGAAATTAACCATTGAATTCCATTGCAGATGACATTTTCATCTATATAAATAAATTTGCTGGCCTGACAAAATAGTTTATTGACAAATGCTGTTAACCTACAAATCATAATATTTATAAAATAAATAATATGTAGAGAAATATACATTTTTTAACATACAGTATTACTCTGGTGATTTCTAAATAACAACACAATTTAGTGATTAAAATGGCTCTCAAATTCTAGAAGATAATCATTGCAATGACTATCTCTACAAATACAGTAATGATGCAAAAACCATTGAAAGAGTATAGTAGATGTTCATTTATCGATTGTATGCTTAATGATTATATTACGTCGAACATGTTCATACAAGTATAATTATTTATAGTGTACAAAGTATGAAACAATCGAAAGAATATAATTTTTAAAGCTGAAGAATCTCATGAAAATGGCATACAAAAGAATTATCATGCAATACCTCAATGATTAGCTTTCATTTATGAACTTTGTAAATTCTTTTAGGTTGGTACTCGGCAATTTTCATACACAGACCGTCGAGCCAATCACTCGTTACCCAGTTCTTTCCCATTATATCCATCGAGACTCACGAGAGCCAAGCCCAACTGGACCGATAATGAACGTGATAAACAATCACGCTCTTTATAAACAATAAAAATGGACAATAATAAAATAATCATTAGAGATTAATTAAAATGAAGTTACCAAATGCTGGAAGGTTTGTGCTTCCAGACAGAGAATGAACCATCTTTATTTCTGAAACTGAGTGCTCTTTCATAACCTATAATAAAAAGATTGATATTTAAATAAAGCTATTTTTTCTTTCAGTATTTTATCGACGTAAAGCAAGATCTTCGAACCTTCACTCATAATATCATATAATCTCTTTTCGATTTTCATATTAATTTTGTCTCTATTTTTCAACAAGTTAAAAGTGTATGTTGCTAGACCCATGTACATCATTGTCTGATCGCAACGGCCAAAGGGCATTTCGATTAAGTGTTGTGGATCGAGTAATGTTGTTTGTAGTGTAGGACCACATTCGGTACCTGAAATGAATACAATTTTATTTACAATCAGATAAATTACAGTGTAATTTTCAGAAATGTTCTTACTTATTTAACAGCTTAAGGAAAATATAGAATTACCAGTAAGTTATAAATATAAAGAACAGGTGAAAAATAGAAAGTCATTGGTGTAAACATGAAAATGATGTTATGATGAACTAGAAGTTTGAAATGGTACTCCTAATTATGGTCAATGGGATGGCCAAAGCAGTCAAGGTTTCAGTCTACTATTTCTTCATTGAATTATATAATAAACCCTGAGGAACGGAGCCCAATAAATCGAATACCGTCTTCCAACCCACTGTGAGTCTCGGCCATACTTATAATAGGAATAATTAAAAGTCCAGCTTAGTTTTCATAAGGGCAGAATGAGTCAAAAATGGAAAATGTACGTGTTAATATTCGCATCCCCTGAAGTCAAAGTACTTTTTTATTTAGATAAAAATACGCAGTACATACATAATGCACAACACAAGTGTTATGAGCAATTTCTGCGTATAAAAACGCCTAAGGCATGTGAACCACAAATTGAAGATCCACATTACTGAAGATTAATTCAAATCGTTCAGACCATGCCTGAATACTCCTTTCTTATGAAGCTGTGTTATGAAAATAATGCCAGTGTGAGAGTGTTCTTTAAGAGTTATGACACTGGAAGGCATTAAGACGAAACTTTTTGCCTCTAATAACGCCATTCCCTTGTTGTGAGTTTTGGAATTAAATTATTTTCCGAAGAAATTTGGAACAAAATGGTTTTCGCTTGTCCCGAAACGTCAGCATACAAAATTTGGTTAAGTTTAAACTCCTACATATCCCTCTAGACAGTGTTGAATAGGAGTACTTTAATTAAATCACTTGGTATTTATATGAATAATTCATTTCACCTAAAATGTTTCATTGTATGACAATAGGAAAATAATTAAAAGAAAATTTTGTAAATTACAGTCGACCCTCTTATAACACTGTTGATAATCCCGTTTTATATGAATTCCGTGTTGTACGAGTCACTTAGATTTTACAAATACGTGAGCCGTTCACAGCCCGGGCACACGTATTTGTAAAATCTAAGTGACTCGTACAACATGAAATTCATATAAAACGGAATTATCAACAGTGTTATAGGGGGATCGACTGTATTTATAACCTTCCCTTTTACTGTAGAAGAAAAGAATATTACGTTTCTTGGCATATTGCAAGGAATTATTTCAAATTTATTCATACTTATTAGAATGTAACCCTTACCAACCAGACATATGGCACTCATTTCAGTTCCAAGAATGTATGGTTTCTTCGGTTGGAGACTTAATTTAATCACCTGAAGTTGCTTCGCTGTATCTATATTATCTAATTTATAGAATTAATTAATTAATTAACGTGCGATATCGTTTTACATTATTATATATTAAAAATTCAAGTAAAATATGGAGTGGGCAAAACACAACTAAAATACTGCTTATTTTAAGATCAGTTAACACCAATTTATAACAGTTACATTTCATTATATCTATTGGTTAACTAACTTCTGGGCTATCCTGTGTACACAGTGCGTTGTTTTATATTATAATTATGAATTTGTGTATGTTAAATTGTTCAGAACGTAATATAAAAACGTACCTGATAAAACCTCTGTAACGACGTTTAATTTTTTCTTTTTTTGTTGGTTTGTTGGATCTAACGTAACGAAAATATCCACTTCTTCAGTAACACCTTCGGCCTGAATATGTATAATATAAAATATGTTAATGGTCGTATCTTCCACACCATTTTGCTATCCTTATTTAGTTGAATACTAGTGGGTATGGAAGAAAGGTCTTCTAGGTATTCTTACTAAGAAGGCCTTTTTTCCATCCCTCACACTAAGAAGGACATTTTAAATAAAAAGCTGTGTTGTTAATGTACTAAACTTTAAACTTTTAGAAAATAAGGCTGAAATTTCTTACCACTACATGCAATTTTTTGACAACAGTATCTTCATCGTAATGGCTTAGAGCCACAATACGAATAAAATAATCCCCAGCCTCTAATGGAACAACTAAAAAGTTCACTGTCCTTGCAGAAAGAGGATCAATTATAATTTTCTTTTGTTCGCTTTTCTCACCTTCTTTTACGCCAGTATATAGGTTTTTAACACCACAAAAATAGACAGTCACCTAAAAGTTTATAAATAGACAGAAGTTATAATATAATTACATACATGGTTAATGAAGTAAATTTAAAAATGCATACAGTTCTTACTAATAACAAATAAGATATCAAAGTATAGGGTAACTTGTCACAATGTAGTAGGTGGTAACGATGTGTAGATTATTGTACAAAGTACAGGTTGATCATAAAGGCATTGTACTCTGATACAAAATTTTTAACAATTATTGTGTATGAATATTTTGAGAATCTAATCACACTATAAATACTAATCATAAAGTATTCTCCATAGCCAAGTGACAAAGTCCAACAGGTAAGTGGTCCGATATCAGCAGCGATTAAATAGAACAACTAAAAATTGCATTGTAACTGTAGAATGGGGTTCCTTCTTCTGCTTTTTTTCAAATTTTACTTTAATACACAGATTATAGTAATTAGAATTTAAGTTAACATGTGCATGTACGTGAACGGGTAATGAAAACAATGTATTTTCTCTCCCTAGAACGCTTAAAAGCATGTCTGAGGGGGCGCCATTCTATTGTATTCTTATGTTATGTATGCATTATTAGTACGTGTAGATTGTACATAAAGTTATCGTCTGCCTACTATTGTGAAAAATCGTTTTTCTTGTAATTCAGGTTTGTATCAAGACATTGCTGTCTATTCTCATGTTTGCTGGTCTCTTGCCAGCTAGGTTTATAATGGAAAACTGATGGCAGATGTATTTAGTTTCACGCGTATCGCTAACAAATCAATGTATGAAATAAAAGTGATCAAGATGTTAATTATTATGTTACATATCATAAAATACTGTTATAATTCAGAAACAATAAATACAAAACACTTCACAATTTATAAGTGTACTCACTGGCAATTTCTGTGGAAAATAGTTGATTACAGTTGCTTCAAGATACAATTCTTCATTGCGTACAACAGAATGTGGAAAATTAACTCGAAGAAAGACACTTTTAAATGATTTCACTTCCATCAGATTAGAAATGCACATTCCCCATTGAGGTGATATACTAATTGTTTGCATAGTCCACGATGTGATGCCGTTCGGTAATTTTGTATTGGCGACTGCAATTCCATCTGATCTAATAGAAAACTTTCATTATACACAATATTTTTCTGCATAATGTTATTAAAATACTTTTAGTGAAATAAAAATATAAGTTAACTGAAAGTAAAGCGATAAGTATTTCAATATACTATCAGAATTTCATATAACTGCAATTGACACTCGGTGTTATGAACAAAGAAATAACTATTTTAAAAGCAACTTGACTGAATCTGATTGTTTCAAGACGTTTGTTGATGTGAGAATGTCGAATTCAGCTATTATTACAGGAAAAATCTGCTTGTGCAGAATTAATTAATTAGTGTTATGTTTTAATTGAAGGTGCGTAAAGTCTCTATAATAAGAATTAACTATTGCAGTGGTACGGAGTTCCTCACTTATATTTAAGTCTTTTGTAGACACATTTTAATATTAAGGAGTAAAACACATAAAATTACCAGGCTGAATGAGTGATGGAATAAAAGAAATCAACAAATTTGCAATCTGCCAATGGAATTTGCCTACCTGGAGGAAACTATTCCCTGTTTAGGAGGTGTTAAGACAAGTAAAAGAAACTAAGGGTAGATAAATGTAGAAGTGAAGTATTGTGTTCAGTTTAATTTGCATCTTTACTTATAAAATCTTCATGAAGTCTTACTCCTATCAAAATATGACACACCACCTCTCTATTTCTCCACTTCCCTCGACCTTTAACCATCAAAATTTAACAGCCCCTCATATACAAGCCATTATAGCCCCCCACACACAGTAAAAGACTTAAACAATATTAATTCAAAAATAATTAAACAAAATACCCAATTTCGAAATCCTCAAATAACCATGTATCTGGGAAATCAGTTCGAAGTGATATTTCTTCTTCTATACCTTTGTCAATGTCAACATCATGGAAGTAAAACTCGTCATCGTAAGGATCGATAAAGTCTTCTTCGTCTGTTTCTTTAAACTTGACACTTTTCAAGTAATTTATTCCCATACGATCTTGTCCAATGGAAGAAAAAGTTTTAATATTATATATCCTATAATTTATTGATATAATTCAATAATTAGAAACACATTACCATTTTCTTTATTCATTTTATTTTCTATTTCGAAATTCCCAAAAAGAAATAAACCAGAATTGAATAGAGTTTTTTGAGAATTTTCTCCCTCTCCTAATCCTGATCCATAATCGTAACTGGCAATTCTCTGGAATAACTGTATAACAGATATGTTAATTACAATTTAATTTTTCGTTAATGATCAAATAAGAAGTAAACTAACATCCTCTCTAGTAATTTTTCCTTGATTTTTCAGAGAAAATGCTACTTTGTCTACAACGAGAAGTCCTACTTTCGTCTTGGATTCTCCTTTTAAGATAAATTTCCCAACTCCTCCTGGTCGTTTATTTGTAAAATCGGGAGTTACAGTAACCTTATGAAAGAAAATTATTATAAATATTACAGTTTTCTTATAAATATCTTTTATTCTGTTCAAGCTTAAATCTCTGATGCGTGACCAAAACACTTACATTTATGGAGTATCGCATTGCATTGATACTGGATGTCCCGAAATGTACTTTAATATTGTTTAGTTTTATGTTTTGCAAGTGCAATTGTAAACATGTACCAGGATTGTTACATATTTTTAGGCCGGATGGCCTAAAAATATGTAACAATCCTGGCAAGGTGATAACAATGGTGTAACAATGGTCAAGGTAACAAGGTGTAACAATGGTCAATGGTAACAAGGTGTAACAATGGTCAAGGTGGCAGCCAACTGCTCTGGGAGACCCGGGATCAAATCCGGACAGGTCACCATCCGGTCGTCTCATTGTGGGTCTGGCCGAACCCATAATGGGCCTGCTTTAAGAGGCCCTCTTAGTGCCCACAGGGCAGAAAAAGTAAAAAAAAATTCACAGAATTGTACCAGTTTTGAAACAAAACAAGGCATGAATTTATATTTTATACTAGTTAACTGACTTTTGCTCCATCCTTTATTCGTGCGTATGTTATGAAATATAATATGGGTAATTATTAACATATATAAAAGAAAATTGAGAAATTCAAATTGATCTGGACGTAATGAATTTCTCATAGAAACTTTAATATATCTTTTTTTTTCTAGGCTCATAAAGAACGAGAGGAAGAAATAAATAAAACTCTAGCCCAGGTGTTCAAGAGCGGGTATTACATAATAAAATTTTGAATAAAATAAAAGTAGGTACCCTGTTCTGACTGTCGACTCCTTCAAGGATTCTTCAACGTTTTATAGAATTTTTATTTATTTATTTTACTAATATAATTTATAACATTAAGGTTAAAATGCTGATGAGCCAGAGTTATTGTACACACTGTTTTCATAGAAAAGATATACTTAATGTGCAAATTTATATCCTGAACTGTCATTCACATAGTCTATTGGACTAATAACCTTGGTCTAAAAGTAAAAAAAAACCTCTGTTTTTTCATGTGAACAAAACATTGCTTAAATTGATATAAATGAAGCATTTAAAAAGATTAAATTTCTTACCTCAGATTTTGCTTCACATTTTTCTTCTACTTCAATTCTCATCGAGTCCACCAGTAATTCTTTATTCAATAAAGAAAATAATAGAATTCTTATAACTGGAGACATTTCAGTGGTAATAACAAATTCCAATCGTTTCTGTTGAAATATTTTTATATGTAAATGTTCTAAAAGTAGAATTTTTCCACGAGCCATAACCTGTTGATAAAAATGAATATTTAAAGTAGCATTGTAGTGGCTTGTGAGGTATACATTCTAGGTACATTTTCTATAAGTTATTAGAGAGGTTGCGGCCGAAGTTTTCATCTGTAAAACGTGAACGTCGAACGTCAAGCGTGAACGTCGAACGTCAAGCGTAAACGTCAACCTTTAAAACGTGAACGTCAACCTTTAAAACGTGAACGTCGAACGTCAAGCGTGAACGTCGACCTTTAAAACGTGAACGTCGAACGTCAAGCGTTTTAAAGGTGAAAATATCGGCTGCAGTGTAGCATTTCTTGTAAAAATTTTTACTTACAAGAATTATATGTAAAGTATTTTTGTAAATAAAAAAGTATTACCATAAAAGTAGTGAAGAAAATCACATGAAAAATCTGTTTAAACTTACCAAATAAAATAATTTTTTTAATTTACTAGCGGGATGAGCGTAAACATTTGCAACGAACTTTTCTCCAATCTAAATAAAAATTTATATTGTCATTTGAAAAATATACTTTAACTAGCTTTTTTAAAGTATTTATATTGCTGAAACCTTATTGTTTACCATAGATAATAAATAACAAAGATACCACCATAGATGAAATGGATGCTTTCATCTCTGAAGCATAATATACTATAATAGGATAATAAATAGGATAATACCATGGATCAATTGGAATTATCTAAAAAGCTTATTGTGTTTCCATTATAAATAGTCAAATTTACTGTATAAAAGGGCATGCATATGTATGAGTTTTGACAATATTACTGTTTAAGGAATAGAAAATAATATAAATATTTACAATACTATTATATATATGCATTAGTAAATATTTTTATTTGATATTCAGTGAATGGAAAAATTTATAGAACGATAGCTTAATTTAAAAGGTTGTGTATACACACTTAAGTTTATAAAATAAGGTAACGCAATTAATAAACTATGCCAGGTGGAGTACCCCTTGAGAGAACTTTTAAGGGAAATTGACCCCTGTTTATCGTTAGAAGCACGAAGAAAACCTGAAACACATCACTTGGTAAGGTACAAACCCAAGATCAAGAACTAATGTTCAGTAATTTTATGCACTAAAACTGGTAGTTGAAAGTGGTCAAACATTTTTGTAATATTGTTTTCAGAATTCCTGAATTCATAAGTTTTTCATGACTTCAATAAACTCATGCACAAAATATCTAACTTATGCCATTGCTAATAGGGGCATCACACTCTCTTGTCACTACACTCAATTTTTTGTTATTCTGTATCTATAATTACTTACTTGAGCTTTCCTTGTTGATGCCGTTCTCGATATCGCTACAAAATTTTCGGAAGGAAATTTGTACATTGTGTGTGTCCCAGAAGCTTGTTGTCCACTTTTGTATCTGCAATCACGTGTTTTCACCTGATAAAATTGAAAAATGAAATAATTCAGAGTAAATACACATTGAGTTATTCTAAAATCTATAAATCAAACAATCTATTTGAACATTAACGATTATAAAGGATTTAATTTGTTAATACAGTTAGCAATCAATTTTTCAGAATCTCATTTAACAGTTATTTAAAATTCTTGTGATTGTCAGACACGTTCACTAAATAGACACAAATTGCATTGCGTGTGACACAGATTCACTTTGATTGTATACATTATAATTGTTGGGGATTTCTGCATTCTGTAAGACTTTTAACTCATTTCATGACCCTAGCCATCAATTCTTTTAAAAAATTAATGTATTTAGCATATGGACTGGTGTACAGAAATTAGTAAATGTAAATGCCAGAAAATACTAAGAATCTAAAAGAAAACACTTAAATTATGAATGTTGTTGACTGATGATATAACATATATAACCTACAGATTATAATGTAACAGATTTTTGAAACAGGACATGCCAGGTTAATTATAGCACTTGAAATGACTAGAATGTTAACGTAGGGAATGTCTTTTAGGCAGCACATGAACAACGTATAGGAAACTAATTAGGTATGGTGCTTGTTTCTCTCATATTTACTATAATACCGAAGTTTGTACTTTTTCTATAAAATTCCAATTGTTCATGATCATGACATATTCAGGTATAACAGGTAAGTGAAAGTGTCTGACCACTCATTCTCGTATTATTTCGTTATATCGAAGGTTAATAGTAAGGTAATCAAAGAGTTCTAAAAAATTAGTAAAAAATCTTACGATGACATGTAAATATGCAGTATCTGCTGGTGGTGTGACATAGTAAATGACACGACCTTTTCTGTCAGTGTTATGTTTCCATTCATTTACTCTTATATCTTTATTACTGGCATCTGTAATTTTAATTAAAGTGGGAATATTCGCTGCAGATCTGCCATTTAAATAGGTGATATCAGCCTGAAATGTATTAACTGACATATATTTTATAAACAAAATAAATACTCTGAAATACATTCTGTCTTCTGAACTTACCACTATCACAGACACTATTCCTGGTTTATAGTACTTGAACGAATTCTTAAATGAGATAATAAATGGAGATTTTACGAATTTGATTCGTTCTTCTCTTGAATTTTTCATCATTCCTGTTGCCGCATCTATGACAGAAACATTAACGGACAATATACTCTTGTACGAATAATACTCGACTTTTGCCATCTTTAAGACGTCCAAAGTACATAGTGAAATCTTTGTTTCTCCCTCTTTCATCTAAATATATAATTTTACTTAAAGGCTATTGAATGTATAATGTAAAATAAAACAATAGTTTACTTACAGCGACACTTTTAGTTCCTGCTGGAAATATCTCTCCATATTTATTCACAACATTCAATGCGTACACTACAATTCCATTAAGTTTCTTTCCGTAAACATACCTGTAAATGTTGCTAGATGTTTGAGTAATCTTATACCTTATAACACATTTAAAGGTGTAAGTTGGACACAAACAGAACACATAGCAATTTATACTTTACATGTTATTGAGTTTCTTATGCTTACTCTGCTTGTACAGTAAAATTAATTACTTTACTTTCAGGTAAAATTACATCTGGCACTTGAAGTTTCACAGTAAATGTTGGTAGAGCTTTAATTAAAATACATTTTATATAATATTTTATTATAATATATGTAAAAAATTTTAAATTTTCTTACTGTATTCTTCAACACGGAATGCCACAGATGTCTTTTGCTGAAACTATTTATTATTCAATTAAAATTTATATAATTTATTATGTTGTTATTATTGTTATTTCTCTCACGTTAATTCCATACGAAACTTCTATTTTCCATTTTCCTAAAATGCAGAATGGAGGAAATGTAAAATTCATTCTAGGAAATTGACCAGAGGATTGCTTCCATGGCTCTGTAAAAAGAGTTTCTTGAACAATTATGTCTTGAGGATTCTGAAATCAAACAGTATTTAAGATGAAATGAATAATATTTATTTTAATTTATGTATAAAAATGACATAGTTTATTACATATCTGGAATATCATCTGTTCAGAGAACTAATTTTGGAGCACGTTCTTTCATTACTCGATCAAAACCTCGTGCTTATGATCCAAACAAATCATAGTGTTAAACATGGTGGAGCTTAGATAAGAGCTCTATGATGAGTAGTGGTGCAACTATGCAGGTTTGCGCCTTTTGACAATCATTGTTTGGATTTCTGCACAAATATATATCCAGGGGAATGTATTCATTAGAGGATAAAAAAGTCATTGTGATTCGAAAATGTTTTTGAACAGAATGTGAGGTTCTCCTTTGCCTCAACTTTGAGATAAATGTCACGAATACGTGGAGGTATAATGCGTGTTACAGCATGGTTAATATAATAAGGCAACACAACACATGGCTAATATAACAAGGTGTGTGCCTCCCAGGAGTACTTTTTATGAGAAACCGGCTATTAAGGTGTGAGAAACGTGAAGAAAATCGAAAAACACCATGCGGCCAGCCCGGTGGTGATGTAAGAACCCGTAACTAACTACCAATGTTTAGTTCCCACAACAACTAGCAGTTTTCACATGGAACTTCCCATACTTTTAGAACCCATCAAGTATATATGTTCGAATTATATTTTATATAATACCACATTATCGACTACTTTTTAAAAGTTACTACATTAACTTACTCTCTATACTACCGTATTAGCTTTATATGAATTTTACAGATTACAGGAATGATCATTTACTTTTTAAATACTAAATTTATTGATAAAAGTAAAACATTATATTTTTAGAATAACTTCTTGTATCGTATACAATACTAAGTTATAAATTATATTACCTTTATCTGTACTCGAATTTTATAGTTTTCAGGTAATAACTTCTCGTTCAATGGAATAATTCGTATTTGTACTACAAAATATTCACTTATTAAATTAAAAATTTATATTCTTTAAAATCAAATTTAATTTAATAATATTAATTTACAGCTTTAAAGAATCTTACATCCAAAAAACAAGATAATTTTAGTACAAGTAGACCCCCCTATAACACTGTTGATAATTTCGTTTTATATGAATTCCATGTTGTACGAGTCACTTAGATTTTACAAATACGTGTGCCGGGCTGTGAATGGCTCACGTATTTGTAAAATCTAAGTGACTCGTACAACATGGAATTCATATAAAACGGAATTATCAACAGTGTTATAGGGGGTCTACTTTATTACCTCTTTGCTGCTGGTTATAAATTGGCTTGTCCGTTTGTAGAAAAACGTATCTCTTATCGTGTTCAACGAGTAATTTTATTTTTTTGTTAAATTTTTGTCCTATTTTAGCTTCTACAAGAACATATACTTTTGGTCCACCAAATCGCACATCGGTATACCTCAAAAGTTTTTCAGAATGCAATTTAATGTTTAGAAAAACTGGAATTCCTGTAATGTAATTATTTTTATTGTATTAATACTTCTGAAATTTAAAATATATAAAAGTTGTTTGTATATTTAGGATTGTTTGTGTGTTGAAACAGTAAAAATGTATAACATAGGTCCATCTAGTTACTTCTTACTTTGTAGCATGGACACTTGAGAAGTATCTCGCTGTTTTTCAAATATGGATTGATACTTGAACATTATTCATTGCCAATTGACCATCTAATTGTGAAACTGGCGAGTTCAAGACGGGTAGGATAAAAAGCCCTTTTATTGCCCACAGACGAAAGAAGTAAAATTTGCAAAAGTAATACTTAAAGGTTATGAAAATAAAACTTCATGGTCATAGGCTAAGATTTCTCAATTATGAATCTTCTGAAAATAAAATTGAAAACTTAGAGCATTAGTAAAGAAAGGAGCAGGGCATTGTAGTATGAGTGAATAAACTACAATTGACCCCCCCTCTATAACACTGTTGATCTTTCCGTTTTATATGAATTCCATGTTGTACAAGTCACTTAGATTTTACAAATACGTGTGTCAGGCTGTGGATGGCTCACATATGTGTAAAATCTAAGTGACTCGTACAACATGGAATTCATATAACACGGAATTATCAACAGTGTTATAGGGGGTTTACTGTATGTCTTCTTTACTGTTCATAAAAGACTTTTGAAATCGAAACATTATGTTGTAAACTTGTATTAAACCTACTCAGCGAGTAAATTTTGTTTCTAAAATGACATTTACAATCCAGTTTACACGTAATCATTAGAAAACGTGCCTGTATAATACAGTATATATTTTTTGGAAATATATAAAGTATAAATTGTTTTTATAGTTACCATTTTTTAAAGTAACTCTCTTCGATGAAAAAACTTTTGTCATTCCAGGAAAGTCCTTTATTGAAACTTTTAGTACTTCGTTATCAGGAACATTATACGCTATTATAGAGAATACTGTGTTTGTGTCCATAGATAATTTTTTAGGAATTGCAATAAAAATTTTTCTGAAAATATTAAAGCGAATGTTATCCAAATAATTTCAGGGAGCATTTCACACATTTTAAAATCATTTCACTTAATCTATATCTCACCCTTGGTATTCGCTGCCTACAGATATACTGTTTTTACTCCTTTGGCACATAAGCACAACAGGAAAGAATAAGAGTGAAAGCAGGAACCAATTTCTGGGATAATATAAATTCAATTTAAATAAACAGTGAAAAATATAGACGTGTTACTAAATACAATATCGCGAACGTGATATGATTAACTCCGTGCTGACATCGTTTGATTCGCTCGCTCACCCCTCATGCTTCACCCAGTTGTTCCCAATATAAACTATTTTAGAAAAATTTCGTGTCGATTCAACCTTTCACGAAAAGCCAAGTTCTTTGGACAAACCCCACCCCAGCTATAACACTGTTGATAATTCCGTTTTATATGAATTTCGTGTTGTACGAGTCACTTAGATTTTACAAATACGTGTGCCGGGCTGTGAACGGCTTACGTATTTGTAAAATCTAAATGACTCGTACAACATGGAATTCATATAAAATGGAATTATCAACAGTGTTATAGGGAGATCGACTGTATATCTCTTGCGCATAAATTACAGTGTTAACATTTAACACAAAGACAATCGATGTAAGCAGAGTCCTCGATAACCTGTACTATAACACTACAAGAAAATTATAGAGATCGAAGTTTAACATAAAAAAATATTGATCTTCGTATCATTTTGTACTTATCATGTTTGATGATAAAGTACAGCAATTACTTATCTATACTTTACTCCGTCAATAATTACTTTTATTTCCAACTGTATAATATTTAATTTAATGTATAATTAAACTGTATTAAATACTTTCGAGTTAAAACTATTCAATAGAATGACTTAGGTAATTGTTTTCAGTGTACCACTCAGGAAACCAATCCCAGGAATCCTTAAGGGACGGTCTGTCTCGGATATTCGGCCGAACTCATAAAAATATATGCTATATTAAGCTGGATAATAAAGGTATATGCCCTTTTAGTACCAATGTATAAAAAATGTTTACCATAAAGGTATTAATATATGGACTGTTAGTGTCTAGAAGGTAAAAAAATGAAAAACAAACGTTACAATAGTTGGGTGATGCAAATGATTACAAAACTGTTATTATGATTAACAATTACTTATTTATTACGTTTTCTTTAAATGAAGAATGAAATTTTATATAAAGTAACATTTACTCACGTTACTTTACTGATGGTTGCGTTGTATATAAGATAATTCTGTGCTCTCATACTCCTCTATACTTTAGTCATATCGAATGTAAAATAATTTCATTTCGCACACGCTACGTATGTGTATCAATTAAACACTAACTGTGAAATAATGACATCATAATAAAATAATATGATAGGATATTCTGATGTCACGTTTACATAGAAACGGTTTAGTTCTTATCAATTATTTTATCAGTATTTGTGATAACTTACTGCTGATAAGAGATATTAATTAAACATATCGTTTATAATTTATAACAGTTAATTACAAGTGTAGTTAGGACAAAGAGACTAAAATGGTACATAAGAGGTACTAGACAAAGGAAAAGACCATCGAAAGGATGGTTATATTTTGCGTTAGAGCAATTGGTAATGAGTGACATTTGATGATAGGGAAGCTGTGTTTCTATAAGAAGCCGACTTCCAGGAGCAATCAGCTAATTCTTTCTTTAAATGTATTTTTAATACATTATTTATCTTAATACTTAATAAATAAACAAGTTCAATATAATTACCTCCGTTATTAGATCCAATATATTCTATATGCCCTCTAAATGCCAATTCTCGCTTCGATAAAAACATATAACATCTATTTATTTAGATATAATATATCTATTAACCGTAACTATCTCGTTATAATTTTCAATATTTATTTTATACTATTTACTAATGTTAAATAATATTCTGCTTCGGTTTCCAAATTGCTTCAAATACGAAAGAATCGACGATTTTTCGTGTCTTTTGAGTGTCAAAGCCATTCTCATTCCACACACTAATAGTAGGCGAGCCAACAAAATAATTTTTGAATTTTTATGCATTTACGGAGCCATTTTATCGCGAAAATGTCGCATTGTTCTTTCTCTTTTAATAACGTTTTCGTTTTCATTATATGATCTCGAGCCAAAACTTTTTAAAAATAAATTTTCAATATCACAATTTCTTTCCGAATCGCTAGCTATAATATAAGGGCTAAAATTAAAAATACAATTATAAAAACTTACTCGGTGAAATAAAATGTGTGGTGGATATACATACCTGGTACAAAACCTTCTTCAATTGTACGAATATACTTTTAAAGAAAAGTATAATTAAATATAGTTTTGTAATCAAACGTACATAAAAATAACATAAAATATTCTTTACTCTTTAAATCTTAACTACTTAGTCAAATAGCTCCCTACGAGTGGAATCAGAGACAGTCCTGCTAGGTGTGCAGTGTGTACTGTACATGCACGCGGGCTGCCAAATCCCGAGGGTGCCGATACCGGTCAATGTCAAATGCCTCTTTTGTCACATCACTAGTATATCTCAAAAGACGCGACAGGGTTCTTGTAAATTTTAAACGTTTCTCACCATAGCCGTAAAAATCTAAATACGTTAAACTTAATAGTCATTTGTTTTCTAACTAATTCGTTTTAGAACCAGGTGTCCTCAGAAATTTCCAAAATTTACAACTTTTCGGTCACTCTCGTCGAACAGGAAAAATTTCTGTCTAATTTTTCGAAGAAATCACTCCCATTGTACTCGGCTAGAGATTGGTTCGGTTAGGCTTTTGTTTAAGTAAAATTTCGGCTCTTTTATCAGGGTTTTGTTTACGTCCCCAATTCCCTAATCGCTTAATTATTTAACTACTTTTTAAGTAGAAATAAGTCGAAACCAGTTACTTTGTACTCGAATATTTGTAGTCTCGGGAAAATGTGGAAAGACAAATTTTTACGACAAACGGATATGTAAATCGTAAATTTAAGGAAAATAAATTCTAAAGCTTTTTCTGTACCTCGTGCACCTCTCTTATTCATTAAATTTAGTTGTAAATGATGCTACCAAAGTAACGGTTAATTTTTTTAACATTATACGAGAATTGTACACGTTTTTTTCTACATCCCCTTAAAGATGGGACGTACGAATTCGTAATATTACTGGTTTAACATTGAAATCCGCGAGTAATATAAAATCGGAGAGCGGAATAAATATATCAAATATTTTAACGGATTTTTTAAAACTCCCATCAACTATACAGAAAACTATCATAAAAACATACAGGAATCGGATGCGTTATACGTACAGCATCCACCCGAGGTCGTGAAAGCATGCAACGTAATAAATGGGCGATCTCTGAGAAGAAAGCCTCCTGGAAGGCTTTCGACAAAAAAGTAACCTTATTTACATGCTAGATACTTAAAGAAATTCCGGAAAACCCACTCTTGTTCGAGCACGAATCTATTATCAATGAGTATTGTTCAGTGGTTTTATTATTTGCACACTGGCAAGTGATTCTTGTATGACACTCAGAGCAAACCCTTATCTAAATTCTAATGTTCAGATTGAATTCATTATCAGATTACTAACTGTCTGTGTCTTTCTTCTCAGAAAACAGGGGTTAAACAACAATAAGTAATAAATATTTGCAATTATTTATTCATATAATACTGTAAACAGTTAACGTAAAAAAAAATCTAATTATACAAGCAACTTCAATTCGTAAAAGTTTTTTTTATACGCATAAACAAAGGGTGTTTAATATAGCTTATCACTTATAATTTATCACAATAACTGATAAAATAATTACATTTTAACTGAAACTATTTCGTTGTACTTATGACATTACACGAATGTCCTATCATATTCTTTTGTTGTGATGTCATTGTTTTAAGTATTTTAATGATACATAAAGAGTGTCGACAAAAAATTATTTTACAGACGTGATACTTTATCACAGAAAGAGATGAAGCTGCAGAAGTACCTCTTGCGAAACACCTGCAATGGCAATTTATTGTAAGTAATTATCATTTTTAATATGAATTACTTATCACTCTACATAGTAAAATACTTCTGTAAAATATATTTAACAATAAAATTGAAGCATTTGGGCGATCTTGTAAGGGGGAGTAAATATTCTAAGGGAAATTAGCCATTATTTAGGTGTAACATACGTAAATACAGGCTAATTTTTTTACATGTGTGACACCTAAATGGCCATGGTTTCGTGCCCAGTTCGTTGTTCGAGGACTTTATATCTTAATAACATGGTGGAATTAACCGTATACGATAGAAAACACCCTATGAATGAGCATATTATCACCTTTTCGTAGTTAAGGGGTCAGACTAACGCTCTGAGACACAAGATCGAATACAAGCGTCACTTTAGAACATTATGTATAACGTCTAAAGATATATAAAACTATGTTTTAAGTATAACCAAGATTTTATTTAACATTATTTAAATATTTTTATCGTTTCAGAAATTTTTTTCTGCTTTTACTCTTATACGTTCCTTCTGTGCTTACGTGTCCGAGGAATAATAATAATAATAATAATAGGCCAAGAGAATACGAAGGGTAAGATGTAAAGAATGTAAAATAATTTTACAGTAACTGAAATTATTCGAATAAACTTTCTGATAATTTTAATTTTAATATTTTTAGGAGAATTTTTATTGCATCTCCTAAAAAATTATCTTTAGATAGAAACGAAAGGATATCCGTAATAGCCTATAATGTTCCTGACAATGAAGTAATGGACGTTACAATAAAAGATTTTCCTGGAATGACAAAAATATTTTCATCTAAGAGAGTTTCTTTAAAAAATGGTGATTATTTTATCAAAATATGTAGCGATTTATATGTATTTATCTTTGAAAATTTTATGCTTTTCACAAGATGTAATATGTTGAGAGCTTGTGTGACATTCTGTGAAGTGTTTCGAGCTGATATATATTCAACCTTATGTATTATCTTAATAATAAACATAAATAAAGAACAATATGCAAGACCCAATATCTCTACTAGATCCGTCCAAACTCCGGATAGGCCCCAAATGTAAGAGAATGGGCCACATCACTAGGGTTACATTTACACAGAAGCCAAACAATCTATATTTTAAACCTTATTTTTGGAAAGACGAAAAGGTCTGTTACGTGTTAGTGTCACAAGTCTAAATAAAGCAATGATTATATCTAAGTATCTTCTGTTAAATATGGTAGTATGTTTTTCAAGTGTAACAATAAGTAAATGAAATTTTCACCTTACAGGAGTTCCAGTTTTTATGGACTTTAATTTACCTTCTAATGAAATTTTGAAGTATATGGAAACTAATATATTTGGTATATTATACTTGAATGTTTATGTGGAAGCTAAAATAGGAAACAAGTTTGAGAGCATTATGAAAGTACCTGTTGCCTATAGTAAAGGATATGTTTTTCTTCAAACGGACAAACCAATTTATAACCCACAACAAACAGGTAATTCTTAAATGATTAAATAAAGTTATAATCAATGCTGTAAATTTATTTTATTAAATACCAGATTTGAATTTAATTAATTAATTTTATAGTACAAATTCGAATTATTGCACTAAACGAGAAGCTGTTACCTGAAAACAATGAAGTTCGAGTGCAAATAAAGGTAATATTCAAAAATTAATATAATTAAAAAAACAGAAGCTTAGAGAATTAAATAAAATACAAGAAATTATACCTAATGGATGAAAGAAGGCAACGCAACACGTGGCAACGAGGACTTTCTATAGGAAAGTAGTCCTTATTTTGGTGTTAGACAGGTGAAAAACACTGACAAACTCTACTTCACTAGTTTTGGTGGAGGTACAAACTTCACACCTAGGTGTGAAGTTTGTACTTCCACCACAACTAGTGAAGTAGAGTTAGTAGAGTGAAGTTGAGAACTAGGTGTTGAAGCTGTTCTATCCACTTGATTAATGGTGAGTAAATCATACTAGAAAGAAAATAATCCCATCCTCATTTGAATAAATAGAACATGGGTTTAGTTTGTACTTCCACCACAACTAGTGAAGTAGAGTTAGTAGAGTGAAGTTGAGAACTAGGTGTTGAAGCTGTTCTATCCACTTGATTAATGGTGAGTAAATCATACTAGAAAGAAAATAATCCCATCCTCATTTGAATAAATAGAACATGGGTTTAGTTTGTACTTCCACCACAACTAGTGAAGTAGAGTTAGTAGAGTGAAGTTGAGAACTAGGTGTTGAAGCTGTTCTATCCACTTGATTAATGGTGAGTAAATCATACTAGAAAGAAAATAATCCCATCCTCATTTGAATAAATAGAACATGGGTTTAGTTTGTACTTCCACCACAACTAGTGAAGTAGAGTTAGTAGAGTGAAGTTGAGAACTAGGTGTTGAAGCTGTTCTATCCACTTGATTAATGGTGAGTAAATCATACTAGAAAGAAAATAATCCCATCCTCATTTGAATAAATAGAACATGGGTTTAGTTAAGGATTTAGAAAATAATCACTTTATAAATATAAGTGAAATATACTTACTGAAGGAAGACAGTGCAACATTGATAAAATATACACGTAACTGAAAATTAGTTGTTGTTTTCTTATAAGGATATTGTATTATATGTAACTCAATTTGTTTTAATGTAATTCTCTTTGATTTCAGAATCCTCAAAATATTATTGTTCAAGAAACCCTTTTTAGAGAGCCATGGAAACAATCCTCTGGTCAGTTTCCTAAAATGAATTTTACCTTTCCACCATTCTCCATGTTAGGACAATGGAGAATAGAAGCCTCGTATGGAATTAGAGTAACTATTATTTATATAAGAATGTGTAATAACCTGTATATAATTGTATTTAATTGGATGAAACTTAGTTTCAGAGACAAACGTCTGTGTCATTTCACGTTGAAGAATACAGTAAGAAAAATTAATACTTAGTTTATACAAAATGATCCAAAAGTCAGTTTACCGTATACAAATACTTCATTATTTATTAGCCCATCAGTGGCTAGGTTGAGAAAACTACTCATCACTCAGTTGATCGGTGTTTAGAGACTCATTAACTTGTTGTATTGTGCAGTTTTCCAGGTTTATTCACGTTTTCCACGGCAAAATAGGTGTTAGTTTTGATTAGAAACTACTTTCAAAGCCATTGCCTTGCTAGATCGCACAGCTGTTGTGTTAGTTCAATGCAATCGTTACAAATTTACAAAATTCTACTAACTCCGTTTTAAATTTAATTTATGATTTACATTAAAAGCATTCTGTAAAGAACGGTTAACCGAGTTTTGGATCAAAGTTTTCAGTTTAATAAATATAAATTATATGAAATGTTTTACAATTTTAGCATTACCAACATTTGCTGTGAAGCTTCGAGTGCCAAGCGCGATATTGTCTAAAGATGAAAAAATTGATATTACTGTACAGGCTGAGTAAGTGTGAGAAAGTCAATAACGTGTAAAAATATAAATTATTTTAAATTTTAAAATGTATTTTTGCTATTTTTTGAGTCTCCTAGCATGAATGTGTGCTTCGTGTTTAGCTGGGTCAATAAATAACATGCCAGGACATTAAACCCAATTGTTTATTGCTCTGCCCTTATGTAATATTACAAAATGAAATACAATCGACACTATAACACTGTTGATTTTTCTGTTTTATATGAATTCCATCTTGTACGAGTCACTTAAATTTTACAAATACGTGTGCCGGGCTGTGAACGGCTCACGTATTTGTAAAATCTAAGTGACTCGTACAACATGGAATTCATATAAAACAGAAAATCAACAGTGTTATAGGGGGGTCGACTGTAATTATATAAAAGCTTTGTAGGACATAGGACTAGCAAAAAGTTTAATATAACTTGCATTATTTACAGGTATGTTTATGGAAAAAAAGTTAATGGAAATGCGTTGTGTAAATTAATCATTGTGACACAATTTTACAAGAAACATCAAGCAGGAATTAAAACTGTTACAGTGAGTGAATTATTGTGTTATTTCATTTATCATTATAAATCATACCATAAAAACTAATTTATTTTTTAGTTTTGCACTTTCATAAACCTCCATTTGATTGGTCTAAATTCAAATGTACTCTTTTCTGTTTGACTTTACACAAATAAGAAAATACTTAAATATTCATTCTACTGTATTTAAATAATAATTTGCTAGTAGGGTGGAAACACTAGGGAAATTCGTTATTTTGTATTTAAATATTGTGTACTTCACACTAACTCTGAATTTGTCGATTATAATTACACTTTATGAAGACTTTTTAAAGGGTAAGTGAAGCATAAAACAGAAAATTTCATATATTCATTATTCAAATGTATTATTTAATATAAGTAATTTCCTGAAAGATGATTGATGTTGTTTGGGCCATTAGCTTACTATAATAAGTTTCTACAATCGAATCCATATGGAAGAGAACCCACGAAGTTTTTAAAGCTGGTCTGGTTGCCTATGTGGTCCTCATTTTCCCCCTGGTTACTTCATTGGGGTCTTAGACAAAACGACAATGAACTTGACAAACCGTTTCTCTTAGTGCCTATTGAACAGAAAGCGTAAACATAAACAATGTAATGCAAATAATAAATATAATTAATTTTAAATTTAATCGTATAGATTTTATAAACTTAAGATTATATAGTACTTTATATTTTTGAGGTCAAAGATGGAAAAGCAAAGATTACACTACCTGCTGCTGAACTTTTAAAAGAAGCAAAACTTGAAGATTTCCCAGAAAAGGGTGAATTATCCATTAATGTGTCTGTCACTGATGAGGCAACAGGAATAACAGAAAATGCAAAGGAAGAACGTATTAAATTCGCTTTATCTCCATACCGTGTATCTCTTTTTCACATGCAGGACTACTATAAACCAGGAGTTGTGTATGTAATAGTAGTGAGTACAGAAAAATTGTGTATCGAAGGGAAAATTTTTTTAGCCATTATCTGATAGATATTTATTAAAACGTTTCTGAAATTATACATTTTAGGCTGATATCTTGTACTTAAATGGCAAACCAGCGGCGAATATTCCCGCTTCTGTTAAAGTTACAGATTCTGAGAACAGAGATGTAAATGTACCGGAGCCAAAACATAAAACCAATGAAAATGGTCGTGTCATTTTCTATGTCACTCCACCATCGGATGTTAACTATCTGAAAGTGACTGTAAGTTCTTTTTATATTTTGTTTAATATTTTAATTTCACTTAATTCAGAGAAATAAACACGATTTTCTTTAATATAATTCAGTATTCAATGTGCTAAAATTAAAACTTAATCATTTGTACATTTGTTATTTTAATTCTTTCTGCACCGTAAGGGTTGAAATAGAAATTTTATCATGTTCATCATGGATTTTCTGAAGTTCAAAATTAGGATCCTGATTTTGGACCTGGACAGTTTTAAGGAATGGAACATGACACAACTCTATAAATAAAAACACCCGGGACGTGTATCTGAATCCCTCACAATGGGATGCTGGTGTCCTAAACAGCTCAACTACAGATCTTATAATTAAAGAGTGCGCAAGGGGTTTTATCATTAGCATTACCGATAACACCCCTGAGCACGCCATTATTTATAATTATTATATTTTTTAAACTTTATCAGGTGACAACAAATGATAACAGATATAAAAGTGGACAGCAAGCTTCTCGAACACGCCAAACGAATAAATTTGCTTCTAATAATTTTATTGCAATTTCGAGAACGGAGTCAATGAGGAAACTGAAAGTATGTATAAGTCTTTACCACTGTAAAATATTTGTTACGTAAATAGGTTTTTTTAAATACTAGAAGTAGGCTTATTATATTTTATATATCTTCTATACAGATTGGAGAAAACTTTGTTGCAACTGTTTTCACTCATCCACCAGATCGATTTGAAAATTTATTTTACGTAGTAAGTAAACACATTTGAATTTTCGTAAAACCTATTGTAATATTTGTCTTATTCCACCAATACTAAAAGATTGGTGGAATAAGGCAGAGAAATGCACTGGGGATCTGCCAAGAAGGATGCTTGTCGAGAAGTTATTTATAGGAAGTTGCCCTAATTTAAATGTAAGACACTTAAATCTGGAAAACTCAATGTGGCCAGCAAGTGTAGTTGCTGTTGGTGAGGCACGAACCCTCGACCACTGTCCAGTGGTCTTATTCGCTTCATTATTAGCGAGAAAAATCTCTGGTCGTACTGTTTTTACGAGTAATGCCAACTTAGTCATATATCTCTACATACGTTAACACATTTCAAATGCAAAAACTTACTTTTTAATGAAATTATACACTGTAAATACATGTATTTTTATGAAAATGTCTATCAATTTTTAACTGTTTCCAAAAGGTCCTTCCCATACTGATCGTGGTTTGGCAATGTCCATAATGGCAAATGATGGGGCTTGACATATCCGGAACTAAAACCATGAATATTTTCTGGTAGTTACTTGCTCGGATAGAGCGTAGATCTCCCAGAACAATTATTTGCTGTCTTGTACTGATTTTATTAAATTTTTACAATGCATACAAAAAATGTAACTGCAATGAATTCAGAATTCATTAAAATTGTGTTTCATATTATTAACAGGTGATGGCTCGTGGAAGAATTCAACTTATGAGACATTTACATACAGGAAAATCGCATCAGAAGCAATTGGAATTTATCATTACGAACGAAATGTCACCAGTTACAAGAGTTCTCGTATTTACTTTAATGAATAAAGAGCTATTGGTTGATTCGATGAGAATTGATGTAGAAGCAAAATGTGAACCAAAATCAGAGGTAAAAATTTTAAATTTGTAAATAATATAAATTCAAATAAATAAATGTATCATTGAAAATGAAATAAATACGTTTGTTGAACCTATTAAAGTAAAAAAACGTAGATATTGTATAATGTTGTACAGTCGACCCCCAATGACACTGTTGATTATTCTGTTTTATATGAATTCCATGTTGTACAAATCAGTTAGATTTTACAAATACGTGAACCGTTTACAGCCCGGCACACGTATTTGTAAAATCTAAGTGACTCGTACAACATGGAATTCATATAAAACAGAATAATCAACAGTGTTATAGGGGGGTCGACTGTATGTCTATAAGATTACTTTTCATAAAATACATTGAAAATTAATATGTATTAGTATATTTATGCATGTCCTTGATACGTTTATTAACGTATAGTTTAACACTACTTTTTGTTGCTTGTTAACATTAGTTATTTTATGTAATTGGTAATATGTTCAAATTCTTCTCTCATCAGGTCGTCATAAACCCCGATTTTCCAACAGTTGAGCCTGGCAGAGATGGAAAATTCATATTAAAAGGAGAACCAAACACTAAAGTAGGACTACTTGCAGTGGATAAAGCAGTATATTCTCTGAAGAACGAACATAGACTTACAAAAGAAAAAGTTAGGAAGATTCTATTTTTTTAAAAAAATCTTTCTGTCTCGTGGTCCTTTCTAAAAACCCCTGTATTGGTTTGTCAATGCCAAAATATTAGGCGGAAGGCTAGGGACAGGGCTTGACATATCCAAATAAAATTCTTGGGGTATAGATCCGATTATGGTCCCTCAGAGCGGTTGGCTTCTACACTAATCGCTTGGCCATCCGAATTATATTATCAAATTCTTCGTAATTTAATAAATAATTAATAGGTAATGAATAAAATTTTAATCAGTTATTTAATTCTACAGTTATTTACAAGAATAACGACATCTGATTACGGTTCTGGATTAGGAGATGGAATGAATTCTCTAAAGATCCTTTCTGATTCTGGTTTACTACTTTTTGGAAATTTCAAAGTAGAAAATACTCGTGATGAACATATAGGTAAAATAATTTAAAAACTACTATTCATTATTGATAAATAATACTGAAAATTGAACACTAAAATTGCGATTTAACAAAATTTTCACAGTAACTAATCACTTGAAAATAATTAACTTCAAAGAGAAGGATGAGGACGAAGTCGACCCTTACTTTGACGGCTTTTTATTTGATTATGATGATATTGATGAAAACATGGAAGATGAAATATCAATTCGAAGTGATTTCAGAGAAACATGGCTATTCGAAGATTACGAAATTGGGTATTTTATTTTATTTATCTTGATTATTTAATTAATATTACGAAAACTTCCATAAAATAATTAAGGACAAATAAACCTACTAACTAAGTAAAACTTAAAACAAAGTTAAGTAAACATATAATAGCCCAAAATTCAGTTAACAGAGAGTATCTTTGACTATTGTTTAATATCGGTTTCACAAGTTTTTACAATATGTGTGTGTTAACTGTTTATTGGGCCATCTTATATTTTCGTAAACCTGAGATTTAAAGTTTATAGTAAATTATATTAAATTTACATTCAATAATAAGAGTAATACAGTAGTAAATTTAGTAATTTAAAAAGATGTTAATAAATTTAAATAATACGGTGATATTTATTTAGACATATTTACAGTGTAAGGTAACTATGAAATGGCCCCTATTAGCAGATCATGAAAGCCATTAAAAAGTATTTTATAAAACAGTAATTTGAAGTAAAAAGTATGTAGCTTTACTCCTGGTACCTCGGGTATTAAAAATTTTAGTAAGGTATTGTGAGAATCCGGGGTAAATAAGGATATTGTATTGATACTTAATTGGCAATGATTTGGTAAGAACCGCTTTACTTTGAGCTTTCCTATAAATATTACACATAAAACCCATTCGAAATCTATATATCCAATTAGATTGATAAAATGTGGAATGCAACATGCGGGCAATCAACCAAGATAGTTACTTGACGGATACTGTGGTAAAATAGACCCTATTTACGTGTATAAACTACATAACTATGTTGAGTATCTACTTCTATTAAAGTAATTTTACAAAGCACTGCATCCATTTTACATTGAAGAGTATTGCTGACGATAAAAAGTTTTCTTACAGACATAATGGAATTTCAGTGGTCAATACGAAGTTACCAGACAGCATCACCACGTGGGTGATACAAGCTGTTAGTGTATCACCTCAATGGGGAATGTGTGTTACCGATGTCAAAGAAATGAAATCATTTAAAAACTTTTTTCTCCAACTTAATATACCATATTCTCTTGTACGCAACGAACAATTGGATCTTCAAGCAACTGTATTCAACTACTTTCCACAGAAAATGCCAGTAAGTAAAACTTTCCACGAAAAATTAACCCATATTTAGGTGTTAAACGTGTAAAGAAAAACAGGAAAACACCATCCGGTCAACTCGTTGATCAACTCAAAAACCCCAATTTCAGTGTTAAGAAATTCCAATTTTTATCTGAAATTTAAACCCAATGTTTTATCCTTATACTTTAAAATGTATTTTTCACGTATATTTAACTACACGTGTTGTTACATCATAAATACGCGAATTGTCATTTTAGGTGACTGTTCACATGTATGGAGTGAAGAATCTACGTAGTGGAGTAAAAGAAGGAGAGAAAAGCGAACGAAAGAGAATCACAATCGAACCCCATTCTACAGGAACTGTGCATTTTTCAATTGTTCCATTAGTGGCTCAGGATTATTTCATTCGTGTTGTGGCTCTAAGTCCTTATGGAGGAGATATTGTGGTCAGAAAATTACATGTAGTGGTAAGATATGTTGTCTTCAAATTTCTGAAATATCATATATAATAAAATATTCTCTTCAGATTTCAGAAAAAAATGTATAAGGCGTTTACTTACAAATCAAGTTATAATTGCTGACTTATTTAATTGTAAAGTTTATTATTATTAAATTGTAAAGTTTGCCATACCATTCGTTAGCGATTTCAGTAACATCAATATGATACTAGAGTGAATGTTAATGACTAATTGGCACCACTTGTACTCTTTATAATAATCATTCAAATTGAATGATATTGTGACATGGATTATGCTCCTTTTTCTGATAACACCAAAGAGGAATATTGAGCTGTGGTTCGTTTGTTTGTGGGATGGAAAAAAATTCGTCAGTCGATCACAGACCAATGGAGGAAAATTACTTCGTTATAATGGTATGCATTACAAATCTATGGTAAGAATTTTGTAAGTACTTTGTACAAAATTCTTACCATAGATTTGTAATAAAACAAAAAATTAAGGAAGAGAAACATACGTAATTTGCTTGTTAAGCAAAAAATTTTATTGAGAAAATAAGATGAGGAAGGAAAATCAAGTGCATTGAAAACTAGGATTAAATTCATTAGTAATGTTAGATTAACGTAACTTTCAATGTATTTTTTCGAATTATATATACTACTTGCTTATTTATAAAAATATGAAAAAAATTACTAAAAAATAATTCTGTCTTAAACATTGTCAGGCTGAAGGTGTTACTGAAGAAATGGATTTTGTCACCAGTTTAGATCCAACAAACCAACAAAAAAGGAAAAGAAGAAACATCGTTTCAGATGTTTTATCAGGTGTATATTAAATATATTTGTGTTCTATTTTAAATGGCCACTGTTTAGAAATGGCCGTTATTGAAATTAAGTATAACTTGTAAATAATTAATTTATAGATTAAATGTTTCGATGAAGATATATTAGTTTGAATATTTAATGTTAAATTATTTAAAATAAATAAAGATTTATGTTAATTAATTATTCTATTATATAAATTAGATATTATAGATACATCGAAGCAGCTACAAGAGATCAAATTTAGTCTTAATCCTGGAAAAACGTATATTCCTGGAACCGAGATGGCAGTTATATCTTTAATTGGTAAGATGAATGCATGTAGTTAGAGAAAATAATTTCGAACACTATAAAATTCTTATATTTGAGTCACTTGTATCACTTACAATGTATTTATTAATGTTTTTTTCCCCACTTTGAAACAAAAATGGGTTATTCCAAGCTTATTCCAAGCATATTCCAAGCTCAGATCGATAAAGAAATGAACTGGGTTGTGAAAAAAATAGTCTCACATATTAAAATTAATAAATTCATGGAAATTAATGAGCCAAATCTACTCGAATCCTAGTTTTTAATATGATATCTTCACCATCGTAATTTACACGTGAAACAAGATGATTTCTGTTTTCTGTATTTTGCATAAAATGTAGAGAAAAGTTTCAATGAAACACTCAATAATCCAGAATAATGATAAATATAATTTGAATAATTTCAGGTACTGAATATGGACCAACAGCACAAACAGTAGTACTCGATCCAAGAGATTTAATTAGAATGCCCACTGGCTGTTGCGAGCAAACAATGACTTACTTAGGTCCAACTCTGTACACTTTGAATTTCTTAAAAAGTAGAGGAAAAATTGATTTGGAAACAGAAGAAAGATTGTATGATTTTGTGGGTAAAGGTATGAACAATGCTATTTATAATTGTAATAGATGAACAGAATGATATGTTTAAATATAAATTTACTGATTATAGGATATAGAAGAGCATTAACTTTTAGAAAAGATGATGGCTCATTCTCTATCTGGCCACGCAGACCATCAAGCATTTGGTAAATTAATTTTTTTTGCCTATAATAATACTTTGAATTTTTTAATTTTCGTGTAATTCATGAAAAGCATTGTCTAAATAGAAATAAACAGAAGAAATTAATTAACAGCATAATAACATTTACGTTTTATTATTCATTTTTGAGAAGAGAGTTAGCAGTGCTTCTAGTTACATGAAGTACTGCTAAAGATTTTCATCTTGTTCCATATGAAAATCTTCAATTTATATAAACACAAAATTTTCATATGATAGATTGTGGAGTTTTTGGAATATGCGTTTTGCGCTCTCTAGACAGGTTTTTCTTTTATACTCTTTTCACCCTGTGGGCACTAAAAGAACCTCTTATAGCAAGTTCATTATGGGATCGGCCAGGTCCACAATGGAGCGACGGGTGATGAGGGACGGAGCCCAACATATGTGACCACCCCCAAAAATTCCTGGGGATTCCTCGACCCGTCCGGATTCGATCCGGGTCTCCCAAAGCTGTAGGCTGCCACCTTGTCTCGGTATATAGACAAATAAAAACTATAAACTATAGTTAAAACATGCCACGTAAAAGTAAAAAATCTACTATTTTACAATAAAATCTAATTTAAGATGGAATAATTTTTACAGTAAATAAGATAGGTCTTTTAGTTTTCTCACCAGGGACACCAATTGCAAAGTCCGTAAAACCTCTAACCAGTGTTGCCGCAATGAAATTTCAAAACGTACTGAAGCGCCTTCAAAAAATGTACTATTTTCCTTCAAAATGTACTAGTTCTATGAATACTTTGTTTACGTGCCTATATATATATAGGCACGTAATTTATATATATATATAGGCTATGTATATAGTAAAGCTATTTAAAATTAAAAATATATCTACACATCTATTACTTATTATATAATTAGCATTACATTGACAACATTTATTAATAATACTATTGAATTTCATCTTAATTTTATAACCAATCGTGCTTTAAAAAAATAATTATAAATTTGTTATATTATTATATTATTTTATTCTTTATTATAGTTTAAATTTTTTTGATGTTATTGCATCACTTTACGAAGTGGTATATACGTAATTGCATCAGTTTTAGTACCTATTTAATTAATTTCAATCATGACAGCAAAAGATAAGGATGCTTGTTTCTTTTAAACTATTTGATGAAAACGTTACATAAAATTGGGGTTGCATAATCATCCGAAATTATTATTATATTTTTGACTGGAAATTACAGGATTTATGCAATTTTAGTTTAATTAATGCCATATAAAACTGACTGCTCCTTCAAGTTTGCTTAAAACATGCAACTCAAAAAACCCCAAAATGGCAGCTCAAGAAGTAGATCACGCGTGTCCTGATCTTCTTATATAGACCTTGGAACAGTCGGAAGTGCGGCCATTTTGGAACCATACGTAACATTAACCCTTATTTCTTTTACTACGATTACTAAAATTGAAGTTCATAATTTAAGAATTAAATTATAGTGGTAGAAAATAATATAAAAGTATTTATAATATTTTTACTCGTACAATTTCAAAACTATTTTCTGTAATAATTTTATTGTGACTTAACGGATATTTTAATATTATTGACGACAAAAGTTTGAAATCATTGATTTCCTTACCTGTCCATTATTTTTGTTTGACGAAGTTGAACTGTTTCGACCACGTGGCATGAAAACATTTGTCAAGGTCCTGATGAGAATGTGCAGACAACTGAACGTGCGAAAGAAGACCACCGAGTCAAGACCGTTTACACGTGCAACTATATGTTGCTGACGTCGACGGACACACACCATTTGTATGTTGTGATTGGATAATTTAAATTAGCAAGCAGTGACACTAGTGAGACTTTATTGAACTAATTTTTTCTCGTTTTTTTGTTAAGGAGTGAAATATTAATGTTTACCGTAAATAGTACTTGAAATATTATAATGTACTGAAAATTTACTAAAAATCTAAATATACTTTCAATTTACTGGAAAGGGCAAAATGTATCAGAAAAGTACAAATGTACTAGGAATGGCAACACTGCCTCTAACACTAGTAATTCTTAGTATATTCACGACATAAGACAGGCTGGCCACGTGAAGTTTTCTGTATTTTCTTCACGAGCCTAACACTAAATAGACGATTATTTTCCACAGAAAGACATCCTGGGATGCAACTCTTAGGTAAATCGCTCAGGTTTTATATTATTCAAACAATTCAAACTTCAGCCATTACAACTTATACATAGAAATTGTTCTGCCAATTTTTTCACACCTGAAACATTTGTTATCAGATTAATTAGACTTAATATCTCATAAAGAATAACAGAAATATATTTATTTGTACAGTAATTAGTATGTAAATATTATTTCTTGTAGGTTAACATCATTTGTTATGAAACTATTTTGTCAAGCCAGCAAACTAATTTATGTAGACGAAAATGTAATCTGCAAAGGAATGCAGTGGATAATTTCTAATCAAAACTCTGATGGCTCATTCGAGGATCCTTATCCTGTTATAAGAAGAGATATAATGGTGAATTTTTAACGATATTTACAGAAAAAAAAATTGAAATATTACATACATTTTGCAATAAAGTAAATTGTTTCTAAAGCACGGAAGCGACGGAAAAGTCCCCATGACTGCATTTGTTCTAACCGTACTGCAACAATGTAAATGTAGTTCAGTAGTGAGTATGGTACTACCCTTTATTCACACATTAAAAATGAAATGAAATCTGTTATATATTGTGTAAATTTAACTATTTGTTTAATAGAATATAAATAATGCCCGTCTGAAAGCGAAATCATTTTTGGAAAAGCAGTTTGAATCTATAAATGATTCATATGTTATGGCATTAACTGCTTACGCACTCGCAGCAACAAATAGTCAAAATAAACATCAAGCAAACGAAAAACTTCTGAAGATGTCAACATTCGATGAAGGTAAATTGATAGAAATTTAAAAAATAAAGTGAAAAACTAAGTATAAAACGCAGAAGTTATGGACTAAATTTTGTTTCAATTATATTAATTAGAATTAAATCAAAGATATTGGGCTAAATCTTCAAAAACTGAATCGATAGAAATTACTTCGTATAGTCTTTTGACTCAGCTGGAATTAACAAATATGTCAACGTCCCTCTCAATTGTCAATTGGTTGAATACACAACGACTCGATGGAGGATACTTCCCTTCTAGTCAGGTAATTATAAATACTTTATAAAATTCTTATATTAAGAGTTTGATCATCAGGTAGAAAGTTTAATATTTATATAATTGAAGAATTGGAAAGAAATGTATGTATGTATGTATATATAATGTAGATTTTCTCTGCGAAATAAGTGTATACTGTATATTCATTGCATATTCACTATAAAGATATTACAATTTTAAATAGATTTATATGCTGTCAAATAATTGCTTTTTGACTCATAAATTTTGTATAATTTCTTCCACAAATATTCGGAAATGTCAGTATACAAACTTGATCTCCAAAACTCATCGCTATGACACTTGTGGCACTGTAAGAGGAGAAAATACACAGAATATGAATACTGTGCACGTGATGTGTTAATTTTTTGGTATAAAACTGCCTATACCACGTTTATACTGGGAAATTTCCATTTGTGTATTACAGATCCAGCGTGCGATGATCAACACTATGCCTGAATTCATGTGACTAATGTAGCTGTTTTATAAAAACAATGCCAATGTTGCGTGTGAGTTTCGAAAGCCGTCACTTTAAGCAATTGCACCTTCCTTTTTTCAACTGGCAGAGCCAGAAATCCCGTAGTGGAGAGTTCTGAAACTATTAGAATTTTTTATTTATGTTTGGCACTTAAATTCAAAACAATTGATTAAATAAAAAAAGTTACTATTAAGTATTTTAATTTATACCATATGATATTTTAATATTAAACGCATTTTAATTATGCTCATTTCAGTCTACAGTGATTGCATTACAAGCACTATCACAATATTTAATTACATCTAAACGCAGAGACATATCTCTAACGTGCAATATTTCGACGAGTCATAATAAAGAATTGGTAAAAACAACGCAAATTAACAATGACAATGCCTTCGTCCTTCAACAATTGGAGGTAAGAAAAATTTTGCATTAATTTTAATTAAACAATATATTTATAAAAAGCTTCATTTATGTATAATGTATTCTTCTTTATTACTTCTGCCCGTACTTCATAATTTTCTATCTTTTCCTGGTCAGAAGTATTGTAGTATCAGACAGGGTAACACGTGGCCGAATTCTTATGTAATAGTTGACCCCTATTTTGCCGTTAAACATGGGAAATAAACCCGGCAACTCCATATTGTCAGCCCATTAGTGCGACCCTCTTGTCACTAGTAATGTTGCGTGGTTTTATCCACTCGGCCACTGGTGAGCTACAATAATAGGGAAATTAGTTGGTCTCTGTAATTTTATTTAATAACATGTACAGTTTTGGAGCCAATTTTAACTCCTCCCCTTTCTTCGTCTGTACTGTACTATACTTTTTGCTATCTCTTTTTTAAGGAAGAAGTGAGTCGATGAAAGTATATACATAGTTGTCAGCAACTCCTCGTGTCTTATTATACTTAGTTTTATAGTAAAAAAATTTTTACTTGTATTGTACAGGTTAATAAATTAGGTGGAATATTATATTTCAACGTGAGCGGAAAGGGAGTTGGATTATTATCAGTTAAAATGAGGTATAATGTAGCAGATAAGGAAAAGCAAACATGTAAAGTAAGACTTTTTTCAATACATACTTAACGTAAAGAGATACTTTTACGCTTAAATTATAAGATAAATAATTAATTGTAAGTGAGAGGTGATTTTGACTAAATTTGTCTATTTAACTTTATTAGTTTCAAACTACTGTGCATGTTTCTGAAGTAAATAAGCAATTTTCAATACAGGAAAACAATATTCATTATGAGAAAGAAAATAAAATTGGTAATATGATTTACTGTATTTAATTTTTCATCGTGTATATTTGCCTATAAATATATTTATGTACTGTATATTTTTTCATATATGTTAATTACAAATGATTATAATATAAAAACTTTCAGAAGTATCTGAAGGCCCTAAATGCTTCAGCAGTAATTTTCATAGTAAACTTACACTGAAAGTTAAAATATGCAGCAAGTAAGTATAAAAAACTGTACAATTTAATTTATATAATTGAATACTTGTAGAATATGTATACATGCCAGTAATATATCATAGATATTATCTGTTTCAAGTAGATTATAAGTACACATTTCTTATTTTATATGCAGATTGTACATAAATTCTTTGACTCAATATGCCTACAATGCGGATATACATGTTAGGCATTCTTATCAGTTTCAAATCTTGTGCTCTGTTCAGTAATGGTAATGTTATGAACTATTGGCAAGTATACTGTTTAAAACATGTGGAGAATAAGTATACAGGAGAAAATATTCCAAAACTAACCAGTAAGAAAGATATTGCACTGTAAAAATCGAAACTCATGGTAGACTCAGTAAAGTGAATAAGAAATACATGAAAATGTAGAGATTCATATTATGTATTGAACTTACAACAATGCTATATCAATAGAAACATCTCATCAGTCTGATCCTGACATCATTTAGTCCAGGACCATACATTTGCCAGAAACAAGATTTCTTGAGGACATCTCATTAGTAACTAACTAATATGATTTTTAAATTGATACCCTATTATGAAAGTGCAACACAATAATAAATCTGAAAATACAGTCGAGTTTTCTTTTCTAAGCTTTTAGCGAAATAGAGAATAGTTTGGTTAATTACTCTTTAATAAAAAGGTGTAGTACTAACTGTTATTGCACACGTGAAGAATTCTTATTATGGAGTTCATCGTGAAGTAAAAATAATCGTATAAAAATGACAATGAATTTTCATTAATGTGTAGTCCTTTGGAGAGCCGTAATTTTCCGTACTGGAGACTTTTGTAACTAAAAAATTTTCAGGAAATTCTTTCCTTCTGCCACGGGCAGTAAACCTATGAAATTCGCTGATATTTTGCTTATTATTTACAACTACGGAAAGAGTTTACAATGAGAAACGTTTAATTATGACACTCCTGTATATAAATTTTAAATATTTAATATATTTCAATAAATGTAATTTCAATTGAAACTTTACTTTCTGCAGATATCTTTCCAGTAAAGATTCCACCATGACTATCATTGATGCTGGAATACTCAGTGGATTCACTCCAGTTAAAGAAGATTTAGATAAAGTAAGTAAACATCGCTTTACGATCAGAAAAATGCTTTATTGTTTCTTGGGTATCTTTGTATCGTAATCAAACGTAATTGTTATCTAAATACTCGTATATTATTAGAAAGCATAGATCATAGGAAATATGAAAGCTGACCAAAAATTGCTGCAATTAGTGTATGTCTATTCTTTTGCCCATTGTAAATTTAGTCAGGCCATCAATAAGGACATCTGCATATTAGAACTAATTCAAGCACACTGGGTTTAGTTCATTTTAAAAAATGACTTTACTGAGAATTACAAACATTTCTCGAAGATGGAAAAGTTGTGAAATTACCTATCAACTAACAGGCAATCAGTTTACTCATTCATAATTTGTTTGTGAAACGGGTTAATAATTATATATGAATTAGAACTTATAGTACGATATAGTGCTTTAAAAAGACTTATAATTTTTTTAATTTTTAATAGTAACAATGTAAATTTTATATTTTATACTTTTTTCAGATAGTCGATGATTATAAAAATCCCGTTGATAGGTACGAAATAGAAGACAGAAACATAATATTTTATTTAGATCATGTATGTATGAATCTACGCTGTAGTACATTAATTTGTTTCTTATTTTTTAAATAAGTATGTGATGATGTAGTTGTACTTTTTAAGTACTACAATTGAATGTGAAGAATACTAATTGAAAAATTAAATTTCACAGGTTACACATAAATCTCCTGTTTGTATTGACTTTCGTGTAAAACGAGATTATATTGTTGGAAATGTGCAGTCCAGTGTTGTGAAAATATACGATTATTATAATAATGGTAAGTGTCTTCTTTTTCGAATTGATTAACTTTTGTTTTTCTGAAAAAAGTTCAGCCAATTTTTTTAAGGTTTTTTAGTCATGACTTAACGGATACGCAATTAATGAATAGGTAAATTACATATGAAGCATATGTCACAATGACAAAACATAAGCTACTCAGGTATTATTTTTATAATCATAAGATTCCCACACTAAGATAAGTGTTGTACTTTAAACCAGCAGGAACATTTTTGCACGGAATACAGACTAATTGTAAATAATGCAAGCCTCTCATTATCATCAAAAGACTTTTAAAACAACCTCATACGATAGGTTAATAAAGGCGAAAGGTCAAAAATATAGCATGAAAAGTGCAGATTTGATGTTTATAAATTTGAATAAAAAGTCGTAAATACTATTAACTATAATTTTTTTTATCAGATTATATAGTAATATACACTAATGACATAATACATTAATTGTATATAATATAATAGAACTTTTGAGATTTCCAAACCCTTTATATGACAGAATAAAACTTAAACTAAAAAAGAAATGTTTGCAATTTTGGGCCTTTTTGGCATTGCATATTTGTAATACAGGGTGATTATAATTATAGTTGTGCTACTCAGACCTGTCTAGAGCCCATTCTCATGGACGTATTTTGATGAAACTTGGTACATATGTTATATGGACAATGGAAAAAAGGAAAATGTAAAAAAATATTTAGTTCGAATTTTCACCAGTAGGTGAAAAATGGCGCATGAGGAACAAGAAACACAAAATGGAAACACGCAAAAGGGTTTTATTCACATTTGTTTCATGTACAATCCATTTGCATCAATTACATGTTCAAAACACCTTATAATGCTGTAAGGCGTTTTGAACACGTGACTGATGCAAATTTATTGCGTTGTAAAGTGCAGTAACATGGGCTGCATTTTGTATTAACAAAAAGCCAAAAATAACAGTATAAACGGCTTTAAAAGTTTTTAATTTTTTAAATATCAATGCGAAGTGAGAAGTTGCGAGTCAATTAGTTTTTTGACTCCGAATCTGACTCTTCATCGCTGCTTTTTAGTGTAACACACGTCAATTACGTTCATTATTGATCTTTCTATAAAGATATAGTGAAGTTAAAAATCTGTTTAATTACTAATTTGTACATGTTTATACTGTTTTTATAATTTTTTCAATTTTAAAAGTTTTTTCAACCGAAAATGTGTTTCGCTCTTCCTGTCACTGATTTCTATTCATAGTTTATTTTCCACATCTTACAATTAAGTCATTCATATTTTCCAACATTCTATTCTTCCTTTCTGTTGGCCTCTCGCTAACAACCGACTGAATAAAAACCACCAAACAGTATAAGTTGGTGACAAGTTCTAGCCTGACCAACAGCTGGCCATGTTAAATTTCTGCTTTTCTTCACGTGTGTAACATCCATAAGCTGGCCAGTGTCATAGAAAGTCATTGGGGAAGCATCTGTTCTTTGCAATTCTTTGTTCTTTTGCATCGCTTCTTCTATTTCAATTTTGTTTTTGGAATTTCTTGACCATATTTTCTGCACTTTCCTTGATATTTAATTTATTAAATGTTTAGTAATTTAAGTATTATATATTAATTCACAGTTTATGTATTTTTCAGATGAACAGTGCATTGTATTCTACAGTCTTGACACTAAAGCATAGCCCTGATAATTGGAAGGAATGAAAATATGTTAATGGAAAATAGTTTTATTGTGTGATTAAAACATGTTATAACACAATAAAATCTTGTTTAAATCATTTTCAGACTGTGTTAATAGACGGCTAAAACCCATGATAACATTAAGAAGAAAGACTAAATATTGACAAAATAAATTGAAATATAGTAAAATACAAATATCTTTATAAATGGACCAACTGAAAGTAGCTGAAACATAGATTTCTTTTCACTATGTACGGAAAAAAGATTTTAAAAATTCTGGCAGATTCGGTGAGGACACTATACGGACAGCCAGGTGATGAGGGACGGACAGGCTAAAATAGAACGTAAAGGCAAGATTGAAATAAAATAATAATATCGTATTATAATTACCAAAGAATCTCCAAGAAGTCTGGTACCAATGAAATTTTCGCTAAATTTTTTATGTTCTAATTTTCTATGTTCTGATTATACTCCTACACAGTGCTGGCGCTACAGTTTATGCCTCTCGAGGCAAAACATTAAGTAGCCACCTCTATTCCCTCTATATAAAATGTCAATTAGATATGCCACACATTGCTCTGTCAATTAGTTTTCAACTCGCGCCATATAGTATTAAAAAAAATTAAACACATTAAAAAATAACACGCCTGAAAATTTGTATAACTTTATGAGAATTTGCCGCCCTGGGAAAATATTTAGGGTGTTTCTGGCATTGCATATTTACAATACACATATAACAATGTAATCTATGTCCTTATTGTAGCGTTGGCCCTGTGCCTACAATTGTAACAGTATGTAATCATCAGTCTGTTTTGAAACTTCGCGCACATTCTTGTCATCTGTACCATATTTCATGAAGATTTTTCAAGCATATTAAAATCTATGGGAGCACAGATTTTTCCATTGATTCCAAACGTTTTTCAACTTGTAATATTAATAATTGTTTAAAGTTTCAAGAACTTGTTCCTATACTTTCCGGACTGTAATGTACTGTATGATAATCAAACACGGTAAGCTATTGGAATGATGATATGTTTAATCCTTCGAGATTTTTCAAATTTCCCCATGTTTTGAAATTCCTGAAATCAAAAAAGTAAAAAAAAAAATATTTTATGGATGCTTGTCTGTATGTTGTCATGATAATTTTTATGTAAGAGGAATTGACGCTATTAAATTATGGTTGTCAAAAAAGTTGGAAAGGATGAAGGGTCATGTCTGTGATAAGGTCAGATATAATAAAAGTTTTAGTCAGGATTGGCATTTACAATATTTAAAAAAAATTTACTCCTAATTTCAAAATTAAACATTCTGCCTTTAATAATATAAAAGTTATTTTTTAATTAAAATCTCATAACGAATAGCACGAAACAATTTTATTTTTATAATTAATAATATAAAAGTTATATTTTGAAAAAAACTCATAACATTTGGAAAAGTTACGCAGGTTATTTCTGGAATTTTTTATTTATCAGAAAATTTCTCGCTGTTGTACATAATATATAATACATAATCACTGTTGTATAATGTCATGTGAGATGTGTTTGATGGAATACGGCATGTCAATAGGTGAGTAGTTAGGTTGCATAACGAAATGACACAAAAGTCTGAAATTCTTTGTAAACAATGAGTGTAATGTTAAAAAAAAGATCATTTAACTGTGTTTCGTCGTTATGAAGGTATTAAATGAATAAAATTATAAAAGTGGTTATAACAATGTGTTGTTGTCATCTGAGACAAGAAAGTTCTGATATACTAAACAGGTGTTCCATAACAGAATTTGCTCTGTCCAAGATGCAAAGAACACAGTTGAAAGTACACTACATGCGTCAATTTTGTTTAATTAATACGAAATTTGTTCAATAAAATACTTTATATCGACAAAACACAGCTGCATTTTCTTTAGATTTTCTGTGTGATTTATAGTTTTTTTTCAAGCGTAATGTAGGTAACCATGTTCATTCTTGATTTCTCTATCAAGATAGTGTAGATAACAATCGTTTAATAAAAATTTGTACGTATTTCTTCTAATTTAAGAGTTTACTAAATATTTACATTTTCTTACACCGAATGTTGTTTATATATTTGTGAGCACTATTTTAGCTTCTTTATTCTTAGACTTATTACACCGTCATTGGACACAAGATCAGCCTTAGACTGTGTTCGGTGACAGTGTAATAAGTCTAGGAATAAAGAGGTTAACATAGTGATCACACGTATTTACCAAGACTAGACAAAAAGCGTATTAAAGTAGCGAATGTTATTTGCTCTTCCATTCACTGGTTGCTATCTGGTTCTATTCACTGGTTGATTCTGTTTATCTTGTAATTAATGGTCTGTATCGAACACTGGCAGTTAAATTTGAGTTCGAGCCTGAGCAAGGGTCTGGACACGTGAAATTTCTGGTTTACTTCACGTGTCTACCACATAAATATAAGCCAGTTTCTCACAAGAAATCTTTCTAAAAGATACCTTTCCCTTGAAGTTGTTTTTTGTTACGTAGCCTATTCCTCTGTCGAATTAATTTTGTTCGTGAAATTTAAAGACGTTATGTTTTGTTAATTTTTTTTAGATTTATAATTTAATTCAAGTTTAGTAATTTAAGTGTTATTTTTTTGCAGATAAACACAGCACTGTATTATACAGTCTTAACATTAAAGCACAGTCTTCATACTTGTAACAAGTAAAAGCATATTAATGAAAAAAGCAGTAATGTATGATTAAAAGAATTTTAACACTTAATTTACTTTGTGGTTGATTATATGCTTACACTTATAATATAAAACCATGTGTTAATGTTGAAGCTCAGCGCACTTTCTTCGAATTTGTAAAATACTTCATCAGAATTTTTTAAGCACATTTGTACCTATGAAAGTACAGCTTTTTTCATTGGTACTTAATGCTTTTGCAACTTGTATCCTTTCTAATACTTTAAAACATATGATAACTTACCTTTTATTATCCAGGTTATTACATATATATATAACACGTTAAGATACTAGAATCGTGACAAATCTGATCCTATGAATTTTTGGAAATCTCCACGATGGGAGCTGTCTGACTCCAAACATGTCATAAAAAGGAAAAAATTATGTACGTTTAAATGTGTGCTAGCATCGTAATTCTTATAAAAGGGACTATGAAATTTTGTTGTATTGACAAAGTGGAGAATTAAAGAAAATTGTCTATGATATGTCGGGTAGGTACCAATGTAATAAAAATTTTATTATTCTTGATATTTACCTTACGTTTTATAACTCAACTATAGCGTAAAAATTAATCATTTTGACATTTTATTATAATTTGGCTGCAATTTAAAAAACAATTGTAGACCTATAAATTTTTACTTTCATCTCTGTCCATCCGTTATTCTTTAATCTAGAGAAAAAAATTACATAGATGAAATCGAAAACCGGATGTTTAAACAACAAAGGTAGGAGGCCCTGGTTGACTATATATGAACATACAAAACTTCCGGTACAAACGGGAAATGACGTGTGTTCATATGTAGTAATCAATTCAAATGTTCTAAAAACAGTTATTATGTGGTAGATGATCAGCACGACACTCTATTTTTAAAGATAAAGTATGATATACAGGGACAAGATACTATTAATTTGAAGTGAAAACCATATATTTTAAATAAAATAAATATAAAAAAAATTAACAATTCCATCCCGGCATTGTAACGATGCGACAATAAATAATTGCTTGTTAATAGTATAAAAGTTATTTGTTAAATAAAATATAATGACAGATGACGCTACAGACAGTTTTATTTATTACTATTAATAATATATAAGTTTCATTTTGAATAAAACCTCATAAAAGTTGGGAAACATACGCAACACATTGCTGCAATTTTTTACACATTAGAACATTTTTAGTTGTTGTAATATAACATTGTTTAATTAATTAAAGATGTAGTTCCTATCGGCGTAATACAATACATGCGGTTACATTTAAGTCTGATAAGATGCATTATAAATTGAAACTAGCGTGATTTTACGAAATAGTGTTTACAATCTTTACGAAAATAATGTAAATAAACGAAACTTTAAAGAATCTAAATTACGGAAATAAACAAAACGTACCAAAAATATCACGAGTGCATATTATTTGACTTTATTTAACGTAAGATATACATATTTCGCGACTTTTAAACATAATTCCAAGTATATCATCTCTTCAAAAAGTTACCTACTTAGTATGATATTACACAAAGTATCACACACAGCTTATATTCAATAATTATTCTGCATGGTATAATTTTATTAAGACAAACACCATTATTAATGAAATTGCTACTACGAAAATATTCTAAGACAAATAAAACACATTACCGTAGAATTGAGTAACGTATAGATGTACAAGGTTTTACTTACATCAGAATTTGACAAAATTGCCTTCCGGGAGGACTTTCTTGGGAAGCTGACCCCTATTCAGGTTATAGATACGTGAAGAAAACCCGGAAAACTTCACGTGGCCAGCCCGTTGGTGACGTGAACCCACGACCCCAACTACCAGTGTTCAATGAACATTCACTCGGCCACTGGTGGGCCACTTCTATCTGCTTGAATAGAAGTTGATAATATTAAAAAAAGCAGAATAATAGTATACAGATACTTATTGGCATCTTATAAGCAGCATTTACAGAACGAGCGCAAACTGAAGAATTATAATATTACGAAAATCGTACTACAACTATTCTATTTAATTGAATAGCTAACAGTTTTAAAATGTATAAAAAGTGCTTATATTTGAATACTGTTTTAACTACGAACTTTAAAATTTTTAGGAATGCACAACACGAAAACAACATTAAACAATAAACCGATAATATGAATTGAAAACTTAATTTTTGTTTCTTCTGGAAAATATTCTTATTTTTAAACGCAAAGAATTTCTAAAGTTCTTTAACTTTCTGTGAGATAAACAGATTTTTCCGTAATAAAACACAAGTTCGATAATTAATATGATAATCGAAAGCAAATAACCAACGAGCAATAAATACAATGGACCTATCACGTGTTCCAATT